TGTTTCCATCACCTTTATTCTGACTCTACTCTTTCCCTTTTTCCAAGTAATTTTCTTAGTAAAGAGATCTCAAATTATCGTTCGACTTCCAATCGATCCAAATTTATTGAAAAATTATCTCTCTATTTGATCTTTTATGCAAGTTCTTCTTAAGGGTGATCACGCATCCGAGGACTCAGAAATCCTCACATTATAGTCGCGCTGATCACATGCGAGCGATCTCTTGGAAGCGCCGTTCTCGTTTCTCGAACGAGGAGGAAACAATCGTAACGCTCTTTCGTGTGCCGTAGCTGACGATGTATGTATGTACTTACAATTTTACCGATGACTGAACGTGATGTCGGTGGAGACGATCCTGACGGGCGATCGATGACACCAACAGTTGGACGGCGGACGTTCACGTCGTTGCGACCGCGAGCCTACGCGGAGACGATCGATCTCGATGATCTCCGTCGTCTGGATCTTCACGTCCGGAACTACGAAGTTGAAGATCTCGACGAGATTCCTATGGCGTACATTTAAGATCACTCGGGATTGAGTTGGCCTGCAATCAAAAATATATTTCCGATGTGTACATTAAGATTGTTCTTGAAAGATTTTATCTATCTTGATAACAATGTGATTTTGTAAAAACTCGAGATTCGCGTTAAATCCTCCTACACGCAAAAAGACCAAAGAAGGAGAGAACAAGGTATGATTCTGTTAACTTTGGCGCCGTAATCTAATGACTGTTCCTAATTACTTTTCGAGAGTTAGAACGATGCGAAGAATCTGGCATGGCAACTTTTAATTTTATCGAGATATAAATACTACGAGAGGAAGTTTATAAATGCTAACAGAAAGTTTTGTACAATTGGAGCAAAGCGAGCAACTACTCTAGACCAATTTGAATTAAGTTAAACTGAAATTAAAATCAAATGAACTGTAGAAATGTATAATTTCCGTAGTAGACAAAGATCTAATTAGAAACCAACTTACCTGGCAAAAATTTGAGATAAACTTTATTCATTCTTAATGAACAAAGTCGAGCAGTTTGCGAATTTGGTCAATTACGACGCGCTGCGCCAACTGACTTTGAGCGACCCGACGGCAAGGTCGGCGTAAAGACAAAAACTCAAACCAAAAGTCCACATAATGTAAACACGTACAACAATGTTTGATTTATTATATATACTATGCGATCACATCTATGCTATGTGTGATGATAATAATATTTCGAAATAATTTCGTTACAAAATTTTCATTTTGCCAACAACTACTTTTGTGGGTTTACTATTCCTTAGCTGAAAGTTTTTACCTTTGAAAACTGCTTTTTAGTTTTAGAAACTGTTCTTCGTGTCGAAAAAACTGTCACAGGAAAGCATTGTCCTATCACGGCGCCAAGATGAATGGAATCTCCTCTTTCTCTTATGCGAAAATTTACTTCAATCTCTTGAAACACAAATTAGAGAGAGCCTATCTATAGTTCTTCCGTTTCTTAACGACGTCTTATTATCGATGTTGCGTTAATCGATCTAGCGCCCGCAATTAGCTCGGGACGAGATCCGTCGTCTTCGTCACTTACGCTATAATTACATGTATAAAATGTATCAACTTAAGATAGCTTTAGATTAAGGTTAAAGACTATATCATCTATCCGTAATTAATATATACAGCTGGAAATTGAGGCGAATTTCTCACGAGAGCGATCGAAACAACCCAGCTAATCGAATATGCAGACTTACCGCATGAACGTAGTTATTGATTGCATTATAAATTTCTCAAGATTACCATTGTGTTTTTCGAAAAATTAAGCCTCATCGATTCCGCCGAAAATACAAGCATTTACTTCAATACGATTTAAACTTTTAACTACCTAATATACATAATGCACAGAATGTCCCAAACATTGCGCACATTAATATTTAATTATGAATAGTTAAAACAGAAAATATCAAACATAAACTTCGTTGTTAATTCTGATATAATTTTTGCGCAAAGATAGACTGTTGAATGTTTATGTAGTCTTCCGACGTGTATGAATCAAATGTTGTAATTAGCGAACTTTTATTTCTCAATTTGGACGTTTGATTCGTATGTCGAAACGTAAGATACATTCGAGGCATTCTGTCGAGAGACGTGTTTCCAAATTTTTATAAAATCGCCGTTTTCTTGCATCGTCGTCGTCTGTTCAAAATTAAGCGACTACATGTCTTTAAAAAGGGAAAAGATTTATAAACCGTCAAGATTCTTTGGAACACTTTCGCATGTGAAAACATGTCGATAACTCGAATAGTCGCGGTAGTTAGAGATTTGTACGAACGAATTACAACGTAACTTTCTTTCCCCGCCATATTTCTGAGTTCCCCAGGTTGACTGAGATGTACGCACATGCGGTATATCGGCCAAGCACCAATTATACCGTGACCGGAGGTAGAAAAGGGAGAGAATAAAAAAAAAACTGTTTGTTAACACTTCAGCTCCTGAATGTTGCGTAGAGGTACGATACATATATAACGTTAAAATGGGCAATTTATCTCCGCGCCCTTGTACGTAATTGAATGTAACAAAATAAATACCTTCGTCGCGACTTAAGGTGTATCACGTATGAGTTTTCCCGTTGAGGATCATCGCGCTGAGAAAGTGGCGCGACTTCTATTCGGAATTACCGAGCGGCAACACAAGTATATCGTAGAGTTGTACGCGATGTGCTCGCAGTTAAGTATGCTATTTATACCTCCGCATTAATCGATTGCTACTGTACCACGATTATCACTTAGACTCGACTTAAATTATTAAGTGTACCGTCGTGTATTGTGGTGTAATAAATGTGATTAGTTGTACGAGAAATAAATGCAAACGCGTAAGAATTACCGTGGCCACGGCTTATTTCTCCGCACTTCGTTTCTTCCCAACGGATCCCGCCATTGCTTCTCCTCAAATGGAACGGAAACGCGCCAAACCAGTCGATTGGCCGCCGTATGGGTCGCGCGTCGCCATCTAGCGTTCTCACAAGGTACTACAACGGATTACCGACTTCGAATAAAATTACCGACAAGTTACCGACATGTCGAAAATAACAGACATTGGCTGCCGTTCAGCAGAACGTTTAGTTTGCAACTGTTGGAAGTTTTCTGAGCTGACATTGGATTATTCCTTTAGATCTAAAAGAATAATCCAATCTCAGCTCAGAAAATTTCCAACAGTTGCGAATTAAATATTCTGCTCAACATGGTCCATGATTTTATCATATAGCGAAAAAACCGTTGGTAGTACTTGCACCTAACCTCGCTTGGCGGAAATAAAATTTTAGTGTATATGTACAAGTACCAGTTATCGAGGTGTCGGGGAAAGAAAGTTCTCAATATTTGTCTCAAGAGCTCGTAGAATCCCAGAGAGCACAAATCTCCTAGGAACGTCCTGAGAATGTCTCGGGGACGTCTCGATGTCCTAAAGACGTCTACAGAACGTCCATAGGATATCGTGTGCTGTTTGAGATATAACAATGCTTTTCCGATTTCATATACTCATGCTACTTCCTCCATACTGTAGCAAAGCGATCGTATATTTTACGTTTATAATTAAACATGTATGTGTATATATATATATATATATGTACAAATTCGCAAGTATAATGTACGATTCGACACACGAGAGTCGCAAGCGCATCGTTTGTCGCAGTTTCTGGCTTTATCAGTACTCACCGGCACTTTTTTCGACAGGCCGAAATGTAGCAACTTGAACTCCTATTTAGCATTTCAGACGATCAGTTCCGTGAATACGTTTACTTTCGGTCACTACTCGGCAATATTTCGTCACCGAACGCGCGAAACTCACTTCCGGCGAGTCTAAATCGCGAGCAATCGGATCGGCTTCTCGAATTCTGAAGCACCGTTGCATCGCGCCATAACCGATCGAATACTACAGCACTTGAGATACACGAAGTGCATGTAGAACCGCGAACGACACAGAGTGCACTTTGCATTCTCACAAGCTGTTCCGCGAAATATTCATTTTCTGTGGCTTTTTACGACTTATTTCGCCACAATCAGGGCGTAAAACTCGTCCCGATGACGATTCACATGCGAAACTCCCTTGGAGTAAGTCGAAAATATCAAACGCGAGCAAAAGAACAATCCGGGTTCCAAACCGCCATAATGTAACGGTCCCGCGATTTTTTACTCGACATTTTCGACCGCGATATCTTCACTTTCAGCGGTTATTTGGCGATATATTATCATGACGAATGCAGGAAAGTTATTTTCAGCACTCCTGGCGATAATTCGAGCACGAGACTCACCTGTAATGAGTCGAAATTATAGGAAATACGAGAGGGCTTGCCGGACACGATCTACCGCGCGATATCGGCTTCCCAACTAAATGAACGTTGCCGCGGTTGAGATTCTCGAAGTATCGTATAAATTCGATGAGACGATACAGCCGACCAATCACGATGGCTCATTACAGTTTTATAAAACTGCACAAGTCAAGTTACGCAAAATGTTCGAGATAATTTCAATACCCAGAATATTAATAATTTTGCTACGATAAATGAAACTTACCTTTAATATTGCTGACGACGATGATTCGTTCGCGATTCTCCGAAGAAGAAATCGTATATAGTGCGGAACTTTGATCTGTTATTACGTCATGAATAAGTTATCGCGCGATGTTTCATTTATATTCACTTCTGAAAACTTTATAATGACATTCTATTACGATTATGACGCGAAATGCGTCAAACTTACTTCCATCTCGTCAAACGATCATTTGTATGCGATACTCATCTTTGGCGACTCCAAATCGCGAAAACGGTTCTCGGAGATGGTTATAATGTTATAATGTTATAATGTTATAATGTTCAAATAAACAATGTCGTAGAAAATGATTGATCGTTAAGTGATTCGATGAAAATAAAATAGTCCAAACAAGATGCAATACACATGCAAGAGGAATTTCGGAATTAAAACGTAAGGACCGGGAATTTTCATCTCCTCTCGACGAATAATGATTCAGACAAATTCGATGTCATAGAGTATAGTTTTATTCATATAGGAAAAGAAGTCGTCCATAGAGATATGTTGCTGGCGGCGTCATTTACAGTATTCCTTATTACGCGTGTTAATATATGTTCTTCGGTGTTTTCCGTTCGTAGTCCATTACACGATATAAAAATGGTCGTTATACGCTATTGCGATAAATATGGTTAATCCTTATGTCTCGATTAAATTGGGAAGCAAGCGTGTGGTTATGTACATAATACAGAGCTCTCGCGCTTAGTACTGTAAGAATTCTTTCGATAAGAAGCATAGTTAGAGACGTCGTCCTGTGAAATAGTCCGTGAGATTCGAGAATTCCTAATGCAAACTTGTCATTTTACGACCACGCGTGTGTCCTTCCCCAGCAAAACGCGCGTTCCTTCCTCAATTTTGTATTAAAAAATATGAAGATTTCTTCCTTTCTTATTTTTCTTCATCCTCCACTCTTATTCTTCGTGTACTAACGTCTCTAATGTATACTTTACATGTTTACCGATAGGTACAATCTGACAAAATAAATACTGGGATCGATTCTTTAGAAAATATATATTACAATATTGCACTTAAGGTAAATGTACATGATAAAACGCGTATAAAATATACAATGTGAGTTCCTCTATCGAGGCACTAACGACAAGGAACACAGAAGTGTCACATAGTGCATGCATGGTTGTTCGTGCACATACTCTTAACGTTTTTGCACTTATACTGTTTGTTTATCGTATCGTCTCTTTTAGGCATCGTATGTTCGATCTTAAGTGGAGAACTTAAAAGCCTAAAAAATACACGTAGGTATATCCATAACTATGTCATTTGCATCTACGATACATTCGCAATAGTAACATCTGACTATTTCGAACATAAGTAGAAGTCTGAATATTTGTAAAACTATGTCTTATGAAGTTAGAGACGATTAATCGCCTTTTCTCTGATACAATTCCTCAGTGGTCAGAAACAAAAGTAATTTAAATTAATAATTTAGAATATGCACTTCTCTCTCTCTCTCTCTCTCTCTCTCTCTCTTTCTCTCACATACCTATGTATTTCGTGGACGAAACATAGGATATTCCTACAAGTATTTTAACGCGATTATAACACATATACAAGCATACACCACGTGTGCACACAATTACACATACATACACTTCTGTTTATAGTAAATCGTATTTATAATTACGACCCAGATTATAGAGACTGTATGTATTAAATCGATAAGGCGGACAAATTATAAGACTCTCGCACTTCGCTTCGATCTCATAACGGGTTAAGTTATACATATGTATATATATATCCTCCTCGTAGAATTAAATGTTTCAACTAGTCGCTCGTGTTTCGCTTTCGTTACCGTCGCACTAAAGTTAAATAATTTTATTACAATTATCGGTCGCCGTTAGCCATCGGCGTAATTCGGCGTAATTGATGATTACAAAAATCGACGGTCTTTTTACGTTCGCGGCATAAATGGAGACGCTTTTGTTCGTCCTGCGAGTAGCTTTCTCGCTCAATTGCTCCTACAACCACAGTACGGTTGGCACATCGTCGTCATTTTATTTCGTTAAAATCACGTAACGCGCGAAACGGAGAGACGTGTGCAATAACGTACAGATAAATACGCTTCATGGGGCACATTTATTCTCGTGAGTAATCGGTACATGCGGCGCAGAGGCGCCGATAAACCTATAATATCGTGATAAAAGACGCAAACAATCGAGAGAAGAAGTTCGGTGCATCTAAAACTACACGAGCGCGACGATGAAAATTCGCGGGCTCTCGTGCACTTACGATCCGTCGCGCGTCTCACGACGCCGAGAAATTTACAGCAACGGAAATACGTACACACATACGTACATGTGTAAGTGGAATATGCATACAGATCGCACACACGCTTAAATACTTGGACATTCGACGTTACATTGAGATTTCAACGGCGTAGAGGGTCAACGCAAAAAGTACAATTTCACACCGACGCATCGTGGCCGGCGGTTAAATTAATTAAAGGAGAGCGTTACTGTTAATACCGTGTCCATTATCAATTACCGCGCGTACGAAGATCGATCAATGGGACGTTAATTAATCTTTCATATCGTCGACGGAAAGGTCTGCGGCACGCGTGGTGCGTGCGCGCATTTATTTATACATACGTTATTTACGTGAATTTCAAGTGTCCGGAGTCTCGAGATAATTCGTTTCATCGTGCGCTAAACTAATCTCACACCTTATCCCGTTTGTGCTCCTCTCCTTTTTTTTTCTTTTTGTATGTACATCTATAAACTTATTCATTATCGTTCGTGATAGCTAAGTAGTATAGTAATTTGGAATAGAGCGTGGATGGAATGAGAGTATTGTCGATTAAAAACTAGGATATTATTCGCGAGTTTCGCGCAGAGCTCACTGGTCGGCGAGACCAGGTGTCCGGCACGTTCGTCGTTCTCGAATCTTCGTGAATCATACGTTGTACAAAACATATATTGCAGTACCACCGCAGTGCACCGCGGCGACCCGTAAATTATCATTTTCGCGTGTACGCAAAACCTGCACAATTAACGGTGGATGCGAATACATCATTCGCTATCCTTTCTCATTCTTCCATGTTCGTGCGAAACAAATAGCCACCAGGGCAGCGCTACGAGAGTTCAGGTAATCTCGTTTCGTAATGACAAGCGACAATTCAACGAGCCGCGATAATTGTTTCGTGTCATCTGCGTATTAGCCGACTGGCATCTCGACACACGCTTCTGTAATTAAACTTTCTCTGCCGTGTTTCCTATATATTTTGTCCCATTATTACTATAAAAAGAGATATATGTACTTGAATATATAATTTTATACCGGTAGGTGGTGAGGTGAGACGATATATTCTAAGTTTTCCGTAAAATTTCAAGCTCCCAAGCCATGCTATACGCAGCTATATCGCGATGTGCTTGTGACTCAGTCATTCTGAAATACCGTGGATAACTCGATCCCGAGACAGACAGATACGAGATCGTGCCTATATATCGTACACAGTAAAGAAGTAAAATCCTCCTTATCCCGCGCACGCTTCCATATTAAATAGGGTGGTACGCACAACAAGCACACACAATAAGCTTATTGCAGTTAAATTGTATGAAAATACACCTTTGAGATTATTCCCTTAGGAGAGAGATAAGGTTCGGTAGTTACATAGAAAGTTCTCGTACATTCCTAAACCTCGAATTTATCCTATCTTCGTTATGAAGGCCACTCAAAAGACGGGACATCAGATAAGATTTCGCTGCTTTCGAACTGAACAGACTGCCATACGATAACGAAGAGAGAAAATGTCACTTAAATACTAAGCGAAAAACGCGCGAAACTTCCGCGTCGCGTAAATATCGCAAAATTTTTTTATCACACGCGCTTCATTGTAATAATCTCATACTCAGCACCTTGTTCGTGAATACCGAAGGCTAAAAATAACGAAGCGAAATAATGCGAGCAGCACGCATCGATTCGTGCCGGGAAGAACTCCAGAACTGCGCAAAAAATGTAACTCGTTACACGTTCCGGGAAATGAAATTGCGGTTATACGGTGCGGCAATGTGCTCCCTTGGCAGATATCTAACATAATATTCTGAATAAGTTATGAGAGATCCGCTTAGAAATTCGTCAGTTCGCTCCCTTATTATATCTTTACGTTTGCACTATTTAGCTTCGCATCTGCACACAAGCCGATATCGATTAAAATTTTCGTATGAAATATATGTTTTGTGGCACGTAATCTCAATTTATTTCGTTAGGTGTCTTTCGCAATACATCGTCGTAAATATATATCAGTATATATTTAGAGTTTCTGCAAATAGCAATTAAATACTTCATAGCGAGAATCATTTTTTTTTTCCTTTTAATTGCATCTAATTCTATTCACGAATGAGGATTATATGCATTTACGTGTATATAATACCTGTTGTAGCGGTATATTGAATATAATATTGTTGTCCGAGTATATATTTCTCTTCGTTCTCGAGGAGAGAGATGGTTTCCAGCGTATAAATCGAATAGGTACATAAAGAATGGACCAATATTTATCTCAAAGCTGGAACGCATACGATGCTGCGTGTATCGCAATTTATATGTCGGTACGTGAAGCAAAATCGATGCATCTCGGTCATTTAAATATCACAAATCACTAAAAATTTAATATAAACTTCTAACATGATAAAACTAACATATTGGTAGTAAAATCGATGAGGGGTAAAACAAACGAGATAATATATACAATTGAGCTAAACTTTGAACCTAGCAATATAGTACTCTCTCACACATATACATATACATTCTCTATCTCTGTTTTTCCCTCATATATTGAAGAGTATTTCACAAGATGTTACAAATATTATTTGTCACATTTCGAAAAATACTAAACGAGAATGTAAAGTGAGTATAGATCTATTATGCTTAATAGAGCATCGAGTGTCTATGCTTCAGATCATTTTTCCTAATTTCACTCTTTACAAGAACATATCTACAACTAAATGAGAAACAGTCAATTGTATTATTTACATGAAAAATATGACTCCTATAACAAATTCACTCATTTACATATATATATATACATATATCTTTTATGACTTTCCATGAAAACGATCCAATTTTATGTGCAATTAATTTAGATATATATATATATTACGTCTTTATGTTAATTACGAGACAAAAATTTTGAATAAAATGCAACAGATTTAAAATAAATAACAATTCAGATGCTTTCAGGCATTACGGAAATATTTGGAAATATCCACGAGACCACATTCAAACGAAGGTAAATCTCGCGTATTATTGGTAAAAATGTAGATTTCAAAAAAAGTTAGATTTTCAATGTTAAATAATAATAAATAGAGGTAAAAAACATTTGCACGTCCAGAAATTGCTTTTCCCTTAGCCGCAATAATAAAGACGGTACCTCAAATTCAATTTTCGCTGTATCTTCCAGTGCTAAATTACGAGGAGAATTGAAGCAACATCTGCTGGAACGTCGTCGTCCCGACGGTAGTGGACATTTGACTAATACTGTTGAATAAAGATTCCGCCTGTAGGTTCTCCGGTAATCTAGTGAGAAACTGAGCGCCACGCACGAAATCCATCTTGAGTAATTCCTCTTGATACAAGTGTAACACCCCGAGCGCTGTTCTAAAGAGAAACTCGTCCCCGTCTCTGAGAAAGACGTCCCAGATTCTGCACGCAACGTCGAGAGGCATTGCTTTGGCATATATCGTGTACAACCAGTCCAACAGATACAAGTCTGGGCTCAATCCGGCTACGGTGAAATGGGAGAAGACTTTTGGCAGCTTATGCGCAAGAGCACTGGAATATACCTTGTAGTAAATGTTCATTCTCTTTTGGTCCAATGTAAAGGCGGCTCTGTGACAAGGATGATTCAGCAGATTAGCGAAGCAAGCGAAGGCGTCCGGTGGTTCCATGTTCAGCGATAATACAGCGCCGACGAAACTCATTCCTTGCACGTAGCCAACGTCCGGTCTGTATACGGCATACGCTGCCAAAATACCCTGAAGGCTGTCGGATAGTGGTCCACCCTCTTGAAAGACACATAAGGTAGGAAAGGTACGAGATACGTCTAATCTGATCGCGGCTAACGACTCGTTGGTAGGGCACGACATCGCCCTGTCCAAGCAGAGATTATAGAGATGCGGAGTAATATTTAAATTATTCGGAATCGCTAGTTTCCATACTCTACCGCGAACACTCGGCGGCAGACCGCGCCACCACAGATCCCGCACTTTTTTCGTGTTCTTAACATTTTCGAATTTAGGTAGGACGTGCACGTTCCACGTGTTCGAGTCCTCGGCTAATCTCTCTTCCTCCTTGAGCTGAGATTCTCGTTGTTGCTTGCGCTCTTTCTCCTCGCGCAGCTCTCTCTTTCTTGCCGCCTCTAAAATAGCATTGTATTGCTTACGATGGCGTTCCTCCTCCAGCGCGTTCTTAGCCGGCAGATTCGCTGGTCTCGGCTGTTGAATTAAAGCTGTACTACCGCCTACCTTATCGACGCTTCTTGACGGGCTACCGGTAGGCGTCGACTGTTGGGAATCCTTGCTCTTCCATGAGAACACATTCTTCGTGAAGAGCGAATTCAGCCCCCAACGTTTCGCCTTGTCGTTCTTCTCTACAACGTGCTGTTGCTCGTCGGATCCCAGAAAGCTACCTGAGGGTGATATCTCGCTAAGGGAAGACACTGTGCTGCTACACGATCGAGGCAGACTATTCCTCGGACTACTGTTCGCGCTAACGTTCTCGAGCTTCGTATATCTATCCGAGTCGACCAGTTTCACGCCGGATCGTTCCTTACCGTTACATGGAGATTCTAAGTATTGAGAAGCGCAGTCAATCTGCGCACTGCCAGGAGGAGGCGCCTTAGTCTCTTCTACGGAGTACAGCTGCTTCGTCGTGGGATTGTACGCCAAGGACATGCTCTCCAGAGCATGGTTCAGGCTGGTTCCCGCGACTCCCACGGAAACTATGTTGCCGGCGTCGTACCACTTGTTCTCCCGGATGTGCACGCATAGTGCCTTGGTCCTTGTCGCCGAGGGTACGGGCGCTACGTCGCATGCCAACGCCTCGTCAACGTTCACGCTGTCGCAGCGCACCGAGTCCCCGTTCAGGGACACCAGTTGCTGCTTGCCGACCCTGGGCACGATGTTGCTGGCGATGTAACAGCCGGACTCGCGTCCGGCTACCTTCACCACTTGGTAACTACCGTTGGTGGTCGCGTGGTTGTTGTAGCGAGACTTCGCGCTGCCCGGGACGGGTTGCGTCCCCCCATTCAGGTGCTGCAGGGACGTCGCGGGGCTCTTCATGGTTCTTCATGCGCGACCGCCTAACCTCGCGAGCGCGTCCGCCGAGTTACCTCTAATCGTGGAGAACGGAAGCCATTCGCGCATCGTCGAGTCCTTCGACGGCCGACTCACGAGTCCCTGCACACGCATGCTTTCTTATCGATTGTCAAGGTCCCGTGACGAGTCAGCATGGAAAAACTCGATCCCTCCTCCGACAGCCCGTCCGTCCCGACGATGTTCCGAGCGGCCGTGGACGGTATTCCGGGGGACGAGACCGGGATGACAGGTGGATGATGCACGATCTTCCCTCTCGCACGAACGTCGCACGACGCAGTCTCGTGTCCTTTGACAGTCGCCCCGCACGGGATCGCAGTAGAGTTCTATATCCGTCTACGGATAACGTCCCCCGTCGTCTAAAAATGTATCATCCGATAATATCGGATGAGGGGTGACGAGAGCGAGAGAGGATCGAACAGTCGCGAAAAGTCACGCTCTTCGAAATCGCGACCACGGACCACGGAAAGATCATATGGACGGAGCATTCTGCGGAGGGTGGATATACACGTGCTCCGCACTTCGACGCGGAAAGTGGGAAAAAAAGTGCCGTTCGAGCGAGCCGACCTATCAACGGCGAGAAAAGGGAACTAGGCGCGCGACTTTACGTTGCGATATCGCTCACAGGATAGACTCGTCGTTATTCCTGCCCGCACGTTGGCAGTACTGAAGGAGTGTCAAATTCAATACAAACGGATGTTTAAAAATGTACACTATACGTGCCATTGAATGATGTCGATTTGCTCGTAATTTCTCACTGGACGTGATTTGTCGTGACATTCGTGCGAGATCAACGTTGCACCGGTCTATTGAAAATGTTGGTCTACGATGTGCTGCACAAGGAGAAGGTTTATCATATCGTCGCCAATGATCTCAGGAGCTTCGGGGTTAAGTATCGCTTCAAGAAGAGTATGCTTAAGAGCGAAAGACCCGAGGTCTGCAAGGATATCTCCAAGAGGGTCTTCAAGATTCCTCTGTTTTATCAACCCTTGGATATCGTGAATCTATCGTCGGGTGGTATAGTTCACGTTCCCGTGTTTGTGATCCAAGCCACGACCTTCCTGGAGAAGTATATCACTCAGGAGGGTCTCTTCAGGAAAGCCGGCTCTCAGGCGCGACAGAAGGAGTTGATGTCTCGCTTGGACAACGGTGGCAGTTTTGGCGAGAAGAATCATGCGATCGATGTCGCCAGTTGTCTGAAATCTTTCTTCCGGGACCTGCCAGAACCACTGATACCATACATATATCATGACTTGTTCGTACACTGCGCATTGCTAAAGAGTTATCGAATACAGGCATTATTGCTAGCATGTACACTGTTACCACCGTATCATCTGAATACTTTAGCATTTTTTATGGAGTTCTTGAAAAAGGTTTCCATGTATGAGAAACAAAATAGGATGAGCATTGAAAACCTAGCGAAGGTTGTCGGACCAAATATCATGCCCTTAAGAGACACAAGTATGTCAGCTGTACAAAATAGATTGCAAATGCACTTGACTATCATCAAGGTAGTACATGTTTTTTTTAGAGATATTCTTGGTTAATATAAGTAGTATAATGCAATTATCATTGTTATAAAGAGGTATTATTGCAGATATTAATTGAAAATTCGCAAAATATTGGTATTCTACCACCACACATTGCGCAAAGTATTTCTATGGAAACAAGCGGTAGTACAGATAATGGATTAGACTCGTTTGAACTACTTGGAAAGTCTAAAAAGAAGAAACATCGTAGTGGAAGTCTTACACGTAAGCCACATCTAAGTGCTACCAATCTGAATCTAAGTATGTCTATGCATGTATTTATTCACCCATATACTATATATGTACTAAACATCCATGTATGTGATCGACATTAATAAGGTTTATGTAAAGCTGACCGAAAGATTAACAAGACTAATGATATTTAACATTATTCTCATTAAATTTAACAAATGTTGATACAATTATAATATTGTTATGCATATTTTCGCGCACATATTATGGCATGATACAAGAATAATATTGTTTATTATATTGATTTAATAATACTTAGTATCTTGCAATGTTTTCCACAGGAATGTTCAATGGATTAAAGAAAATAGTTGGGAAAGGTATTGATGATGTTTCTAATATCAACCATCAACAACTTCCTACACATCCGGAGCAGTTAACTGTGCCTTTACCTAAATTTCACAAAAAACGAAAAGTAGCAGAGAGAATAGATGCTCCAAATATAAAGAAAAAGTATGGATCTATTTGTTGCCTTACCTATCTGTACTTTGTGTTGATTTTATTTTCTCCCCTACGTATTATTTCATTATATCTGGTTTAAAATAATATTATTGTCAAACAACGCACATGAATTTAATGTATCATGTTTCAGGAGAGTGGCTGACAAATTAGACAAGTCAAAGAAAATAAGACTGAGTTTGGACAAATTTGTGCCTAAGAATAAACCAGTGAGTATATACATACACCAGCTTCTTATATCTTGATCTTGATATAGTATAAAACAACTTCAGTAATCATTTGTGTCAAATATTTTCAGAAAAATACCGACGGTGACCCGTCTGATTCATTTACAAATAATTACAAGTCGCACGTACAATTGAGACGTTGGAGTTCAATAAACAACTCTTCCGATGCGCGTAAAATACGGAAGTACAGCGACGAGATATCACACTTGAAATTCATGAAAAATGATGAACCATCGAACGATGATTTGCTTCAGGAATACGATAACGTATTTATTGATGCCAATGTGAATTTATCAGACGATGGTGGTGGGAAAGGATTATTTGTAAATGAAGAACGCCATAGAACTAGCGAGCAATGGCATATAGAGACAAACACGAGCTTGAAGAAACTAGACACTATGGATGAAAGTGACAATAACATATGCTTGTTGGTTCCTGAGGAAAAGACTGATTTGGAAGAATTCGATATGTCTCTTCCTCATACTGACACGATATCATCATCGAGTGATCACTGTGAAGAAGATTACGTCAGAATTCCTAAAAGCGAGTACGAAGATATAAAAAATCGAGTTTCCGCGATTGAGTCGCGTATTTCGCAAGAATTTGGAAGTATATACGATGAGGAGAATGATATAACTACACACTCGGTGAACAAAGTGCAGACAGCATACGAGAAAACATTGGAAGAGGCTAGTATTGAAAATACCTTGACAAGTGATTATTTAGCAAAGAAATTGAGTAAAGAATTAAAGATCAGAAGGTCGGGAGAACATAAAATAATTAGATCTCCTAGCGCGAGAAAAATTGGAACATTAAGAAGACGTTCGCAGGAGAAAGTCACCAGGTAATTGAAGAAGTAACTTTATTATATAATATATTGAAAGTAAAAGGATCGTATATTTCAAAATATTAACCCTTTGCACTCGAGAGATCCGGAGCGGAGCCATTTAAAATTTGTCTTCAAACTTAAAACAAACTATTAACAACTATTAACAAATTAACAAAATTAAAAAAACAATGACTTTTCTTTTAATGCGCATATCATTTACTTATATGTGAATATGATCTTTCCACTGAAATTGCTTCGAGTTGCTGGTAATATGAATGAAAAAAAACTTCGAGTGCAAAGGGTTAATATAATTTTGAAATGAAAAAAAAACAATAATATATACTGTTAGAATAAAAAGTTGAAGTAGTGTGTAAAAACAAATCAGACATGAAATATAATAAATTATTACGTGATATTAATATCACGTAATAATTTAATTCACTAAAAATATTATGAATTATTTATAAACTTTTATCTTTGCAGCAAACGTGTTAGACGAACCGCATCGTGGCACATATCTCCGGAATTCAATTTGCAACATCATATCCAACTGGAGAAACAAGTGAACGTTTACCCCATCGAAAAACAATCGACGTTTACTGGCAATTTCTTAGAGGAACAATTTTATTCTTCGGCGAGATCCAATGAAATTACTTCTGACAATGCGACAGATGAGATAGCCTGTTTACGTGACCAAGTGAACACACTGATTTCTCGTTCAGGAGAACAGCACAAAATTTCAAATAATAGCAATTTGAATCTTTCTGGATTTAAAGATCTACATTTGGCAAATAACCGGGTGGGTTCATCTGTGCGCAGAGCATCGTCTTTCCATGGAAAAGATTTTGTAGACAATTCATCCTATTTCGATAAGAAAGTAGACGATTTGAGAAAGTCTAATAGTCATCAAAATATAATCTTAAATAATGACTGTTTACAAAGAGACAATACTATTGTTGAAGGCTCAAACGAGGTATCTTGGAAAGATGCGAATAGATATTTTAAATCAGTATCGCGGACAAACACGCCCGCTCCTCAGACCGGTAGAGCATCAGTCGCGAAACTTCGAGCGCAAAATGCCGGTATGGTATTGGCTAAGGCGAAATTATTTGGCGAATGTACTACTAAAACGTCCGACTTTACATCAGCAAACTCGTCGAGCAAGAAACATTGTCGCGATAATGTAAATGTAAAACGTTCTCCAAATTTAGCTAAAGAAACAACGGACGTGAACGTCGAACATTTTAAACAGTCGTATAAGAGGACCCAAGTCTCTCGGAAACAATCCAATAAAGAGGCAAAAGGTAAAAATTATTACCCAGTTGTGCTATCTTCAAATATGTCACCACAAATCAAGACACAGATAACAACTACGCAATCGAAACTGCTCCAAGAACACGTGGACAAGAATTACCATTCCACGCAGAAATTCGAGATACAAAGTCAGAAACTGTCGAACAAGGATCCGATTTCGTATCAGATTTCTGCTAAGGATAAAACTATTAATATTACACGTGATATGGAAATTCATCAGAAGGAAAACGCTGCTACGAAAGTATCGCCTTTGATGAAGATGTCTATCGATACCATATCGCAAAATTCGAATCTATATTCTTACAAACCGGATGTTAACAAAACGCCGCACATTAAGCGGCCTTTAACTGTCAAGACCCCGAAAAGTACCAAATTAATGCGTAAGCCGCCAGTTGAAACACGTAGAACACCGTTGAAAGCGACAGCGCAATTAGGAACTCCGAAACGTCAAAGTCCTAAAAGTATTCTGAAGACAAGGACTCTCAGTATGCATACGTAACAGAGAGAGAGAGAGAGATAAAGAGAGATGCACAAAGTATAAAAAATAATAAATATGTACGTTGATTTATATGTGCCTTATCTTTAGACTCGCGCGATATTTCAAGAAGGTATAATTTTTATGCTTATTAATATTTTTGTATATTTTGGTGTTCCTAGTATATCGGATGCTATCAATGGAATATATAATTGTTACTATAGAGTTAGTATGTGTCATGAAACTTGTAGTTTAAATATGAATGTTTAAAACTGCATTCCGCGCGTGAAGCATTGTTTAAGCGGAACAAATAGTAAGTGGTATGATTGAAAGACGCACCTGTGAATTATTACACGTTTATCATTTTATCAATTTGCTGTTTTTTTTTTTTTTACAAATTGAAGAAAACATACGTTAAACCTTTGAAATACTACTTTTTAAGACTAGTCATTGCATGTATCTGCTCGTTTACATGTGTTCCTCGTTATATTCATCGTCATCCACAACTTCGAATTCAATGCAATATTCATACTGTCTTATCGATATACATAGACGTAATAGTATCAGTAATTACTATAATTGACACCACCACCCGACTCATAAAATATATCTTTTGATGAATTCGAAATCATTGCATATTTCCATGCGTTTTCCTGCCTGATTTATCCAAGAAAGAAACTCTCTCAGCCTTGGTTCGTAAGATTTCAAACTTTCCGATGACGGCATGATAGCGCCGTGATGGAAATGAGAATCACGATAGTCCACGTGGTTCACGGTGATCAGACGCGTGACCAATCACGTGGCACCGCTTGTCCTTCGCCCGCTGTCAAAACACTCTTACCGCTTTTGACATTTTGTGTATGATGCAACGAACGTTCTGACTCGCACACGTTTATAAATTATAACATATAGCGCAAAAATATCGTACGTTCCGGTGCTTCCGTAAGGAGAAAGCGTGCGATAATGCGTTAACGCTAAAAAGAAATCCACGTCATTCGTGTGTGCGTTACATACGGTGACATGCACTTTGAAGATTACCGCGACGCTATCAGCGCCACGTTGTTAACATCGTCGATACCGCGCAGAGTGCCGTGTAACACATACACTATACAGCTGTCCGGAAACACCAACGAGACCGTCGAAACGTAAAATTCTCCGTGCGATAGGTGTCAAGCCAATTTCTCCTTGGTGAACCAACGCCAGCCAGCCGTGGGCTGACGTGGGAAAGCGGCTGGTGCTCGCAAAAATGAGGGAGGCCGGGATCATGTTGATAAGCACCGTGCTAACGTGCGCTGTTATTGGCAATGCGTATTATCAGAGAAAACAATTCTATCCTACCGTGGTTCACATAACCAAATCCAACCCGAGTATGACCGTGAGTTTTTCTCTCGTGTGACATTTCTATCGCTTGTACTTGCGTGGTAAAACGCGACAACGGTCAGTGAGCGTTCGCCACCATTACATACGTGTTACTTTGTATTGCTCAGGTGATCTACGCGCAAGGATTCATCCTTGCTTTCATGATAAACGCCTTCTTGCGAAAAGTCTTTTTCGGTACATTGCGCGCCGCTGAGCTTGAAGTAAGTAAACCGTCCGTTCTTTATCTTCGGCCTGATTCTTGTTCTTGTTTTATTTACCGATGTATACCATGGATGTCTTTCGTAACATTGTTGTTTTTTCGCAGCACTTGGTGGAGAAAGTATGGTACGCGGTGACAGAAACATGCTTGGCATTTACGGTATTCAGAGATGACTTCAGCCCAAAATTCATAGCGTTATTCACGCTCCTCTTGTTTCTAAAATCGTTTCATTGGCTCGCGGAGGATCGTGTTGATTATGTAAGTTCCAACTTGTCGTAATTATATATGAAATAGGTAAATACGTGTCTAATCTGTTCGTCGTCTCTTTCAGATGGAAAGAAGCCCAGTGATAACATGGCTGTTTCATCTTAGAGTTGGCACTTTATTGGGGCTTTTATTCGCCATTAATTTAACAATGATACACTATGCGTACAATACAACAGCCACCAAAGGTCCCTCTGTGCAGCTAGTATTTGGCTTTGAATATGCAATTTTGTTGACTGTTGTCTTCAATATTGCTGTAAAGTACATTTTGCACACCATTGATTTGCAAAGTGAGAATCCGTGGGACAACAAGCCAGTGTTCTTGTTGTACACTGAACTGATTATTGGATTATTAAAGGTAATTAAGTGTAAAAATCTTACACATTGGTTGATTCGTAATTGTATCCTCCTTGGTAATTAAAATCGATGTATTTGCTCTGCCAGGTCATTCTGTACGTTGCCTTTGTGACACTGATGATAAAACTATTTACATTACCTCTGTTTGCACTGCGTCCCATGTATTATACGATGCGAGACTTCAAGAAAGCTTTCCACGACATCGTGATGTCTCGAAGAGCTATTAGAAACATGAATACGCTCTATCCTGACGCAACGACCGAGGAATTAGCTGCTGCTGATAATGTCTGTATTATATGCCGGTGAGTAACTTATATTGTAACAAAAAATTTCCAACAGCACTTTTTATATGACTCAAAAATATTGTCTCATGTCGACATACAGGGAGGAGATGGTTGCAGCTAGTAAAAAGCTGCCGTGTAATCACATCTTCCATACTGCTTGTTTACGTTCTTGGTTTCAACGGCAACAGACATGCCCGACATGCCGTTTGAACATTTTGAGACCAGGGGCGAGTAATTCGACGCCTAGGCAGCATAATCCTCCCCAACCAGGACCACAGGTGCCTCAGCCTCAACAGGCACCTGCTGGAGTTAACCCACTTGGTACAATTTCTCTCATTCCTTTTTCAGGATTCATTCCTGATTTTTTTCGTCTTTTTTCTTACAAATGAGAAACATGTGTGCGGTCGTCCTTTAATATAATTTACATTTAACACAGGACCAGCGCCTCCTTTCCATTTCCCAGTGTTTTGGGCTGGATTACCAGCACCTGGGGCACCACCTCAGCAACAACAGCCGCAGCAGCAACAACAACAGCCGCAGCAGCAATCGCAACAGCAGCAGCAGCAGCAGCAACCTCAAAGTAACGGGGCACCTGGAAGCACCCCGCCACCTCAGATCATACCTCCAGGGAATATACCGCTTCTTCCACCGTTGTTCCCTACGTTAGTACCGTTTCCGCCTATTCCCGTGCCGCCGCCGAATTTAACTGAGTTGAGCGAGGAGGAACTTCGAGCGATGGAAGGTAATTTGCGGCAGGCGGTACAAGCGAGGATACAAACATTGCAGAGAATCCAACTCCTATTGGACGCCGCTAACGCGATGATGAATCAATATCAGAGAGCGGCTGCCACGGCCAAGTGAGTGATCGAAATTGCGTTTCAGCGTTGCTGCAATGTTATATCGAGATATTTTTGTCGAATTATTATTATTAAATTATATCTTCCAAATTACAGCATTCCCATGCACACTGCAAGCGGCGCCGACGACGCGTCAGAAACGTCAAGCGCGTCTGCGATGACGAAAACGCAGCAGACAGCCAGTACGGCGGACGCGAGTGGTGATACCAATGCCGAAGGTCCATCATCCAAGGCAGACAACGCTTCCACTCCGAGCACGTCGAAGGAGGACGTTCCTTCTCCGAGTACGTCAAAGGAAAAGGACACGTCGACGCTTAGCAGTACGTCGGAATTAGGATCTAGGAGTGAAACGGAATCCTCGAGCGAGCAAGAAATGCTGCGCAAACGCAGGCTACAAAAGTTCTCGGCTCAACCAACGACGGAATAAATAAAGATGAAATTGTGTGATATATATAAATCATGTAACATAATAGTCTTTAATTTGCTTAATGATCGGCCTCAATTACGCGAGCGACCGATATATAATAATTGAGGATTGCGACAATGGACGGGAGGATCCTTCGAAACAATAATTCTGAGATCGGTCGCGTTCCGGATTGAGCGCGGATGAACTTTACTTGACGATCCTCTAGCGACTGTTAAATCCAAGATGTAGTGACAACTGAGACTGAAAGCCCGAACTTCGAAATCACAAGCTGAACAGCTACGATATATACCAACAATCATAATCAGGAAAGTGGGAGGATGATTTTATAGGGATGACATGATTGATGTCTTTCTTTTTGTAAACTATCACCGGAATGAATACAAAATAAGAGAAAGTCGGTTCTTTTGGTATTCTACTCTTTTGAGATTTATATATATAAACACGTTTATCCTGTATATATATATATGATTAGGATCTTCTTGCTTTTTTGCATATAGCTGTTGTAGTTGTGTAAAAGTATTCCTTGTAATTATGAAATTAATTCGATATCCTTTGCATAAAATGCATTTGAGTATTCTCTGTCCCTGAGCTTTAATATTTGCAAGTTTCGTGACGTGCAGAATAATCTTGAGCATTGCTGAATGTGTGATTGGTTTAACGTTGCAAGTGCTTTGATAGTGTTTTCTTACACACGAAATTTGATGGCATTATTGTCCGGTTAAAAGATCGCGAACCATCTAACTATTTTTATGTGATATTTCCTATCCTCATAAAACGTAGTTGTTTTGCTCTTTAACTACGAACCACTTGATCGAATCGATTACTACGCAGTTCTTCGATAGTGGCCAAGCGACTCCTGGGTGCGTTCCCTTTGGACGCTCACGTGCTGTAAGCATTCGAATGTAAGAAGAATAATCGACTATGATTGGTTAATATCTTACTTTTACTTCTTATAAATATACTCCTACTGCCCATTGTAAACCGGAACTAAGCGCTTAAGCGTCCAAAGAGAACGCACCCTAGACAGGTGCGTCCTTTTCGAAAATGTCTAAGCCGGAACTGACGGCGTTAATGTACCGAATACGAATGTCATATGAAATATAATTCGTACCTGTCTGTCGACATTCGACGCGTCCGTCTTCGAGCTTCTCTTTAATCAGAGGTAAGTATATTTTTTACTTCCTGTCCTGCGAATCACGATACCTTTGTGTTAATTTTTTGATGATATCAATTACCCAACGATTCCCGCAGTACTGACGTCACTTTCGAAGGGAGGTTACCCACGCGAACCGTATCCGGTGTCGGCCATTTTCTTTCGCTACGCCGCCGTGTAACGATTATGTGCTCGGTTTAGGATCTCGATTGAGAGTGTTCGAATTGCCCTATTTAGAACGCTTGCCGTCTGTACGTTCATAGTTTCTCGTAAATAGCTCACTCTCTTTGCATATCTCAGTTTTCGTGTATTTTCTACTCATATACATCTTTCTTTTGCGAGCAGCGCGAACTTGTCTGGTGTGCTAATGCGTGGCGTTTCAGAGAGCTCTCCGACTTGTGCAATGGCGGAGGATTTGGATGTCGAGGCGATGCTGGAGGCGCCGTATAAGAAGGGGGTAAGCTTTGTTTTTCTATTATTTTATTTCGCTCTCTTTCTCACTATCTTTGTATCCTATTTCTCTTTCTCTCTCTCTCTCTCTCTCTCTTTTTCATTCTATCTTGTCATCACTTTCGTCTTGCTCACGCTCGTGAATTGCAATCTCGATGTGCAAGGCGTGCCGCCTTTTCTTTTTTAACTTACACACTCGCCGCGTACGAGAGAAAGAGAACCCATCATTTCTCCGACCTTCCCTCCCACTCACTATCACCTTCTCTCTCTCTATCTATTTCTCTCTCTCTCTCTCTCTCTTTCTCTCTCTTTATCTCTTTCTCTATCTTTTTTGTGTGTGCATATGGATAGTTTATATGTATACATATATATAGAACAAAGTACACCCTTGTTTCTGATGTACCAACTATTGATCAACACCTCCGTTTTCTGTACTTATAGATGGTACGTAACATGTACCCTCGCGCTCGTAGGATGTACGCCAGCAAGTTCCTAGAATGCACTTGAAAGACGAGGTATTAAGAATAGCCATCATCTAACATCATTCTCTACTTATTTCTCATTATTTTGTTCTCTCTCGCTCTTTACTTCTGTCTAGCCTATATTTTCATTTTTCTTTTATTTCTTTATAAATTTTGTTTTACAAAGGCATAATGTTGTAATGATGTAGCTGTCGTGTTGATACACGCTCAAGCGGAAGCAGGTACCAGTGACTTCAGATGATAATTCATGTGGATCTATGTACTGTTTACCACATGCCATAATATCGGTATCTTTGACCAGCAAACTCAGGGATCTTGCATAAGAATGTGTGTGTGTGTGTGTGTGTGTGAGAACACGAGTGATTGAAAATTTAGATGAATGCACATTGAGGAACTTTTAGAAGCCAGAATATATAAATTTTGACATTGACTACAGATTTTTAAAGATAGGTAAATTCGAGGACCTTCAATATTCATGAATTTGTAATTTACGGATTCAAGAGGAGGCCTCGATTCGAATGTGTATATGTGCTTGTATGAACGTATGTTACATAGGTGAAAATTGATATATAAAATTCGTTTACTGACCAAGCCGAACATTTTCAAGGTTTTCCATCCTGGAATGAAATACTTCTGACATTAATCACGTAGTGCATATTGTTTCATCCAAAGAGAAACGCATTATCTTATCTGCTATATGGTATAAGAATTACAAGGGGTACTCTTCATATCTAACGTCAACTTTGATAATGCTCTGTTTTCGTATCCTCCTTCTTTTTCCTTTCTTCAATGATAAATCTCTTTCTGAGGAAACTAATATCTACAAGATGTACATAAATGTAGACACCTTCTCTCTTTCTCTCTCTCTCTCTCTCTTCTCTCTCTCTTCTCTCTCTCTCTCTTTCTTTCCCACAATCCTTTCTTATATAACCAAGGGTAACATTTACGTTTGTGCTGTCCAATCGATCTTTTTAATTACCTATGTTATTTCGATACGTGATTATTCTATAACACCTATATACATGCTGCAACGTTGATACGTTAACGAGTTCCAAGTAGTCCGATATAATATCACAATTTACCGATATGATATCATCACGATTTACAAATTGGAAAAATTTTTTTTACTTATTTTCACATTTTTAATTTCCACTCATGTTGCCTGTCTGTTTGAACAATCTTCTTGATTTACAACCATAAAGAAGTAATTTTTGTTCCTTATTACAAAGCCGTAAGATACATTACCTGCCAATTACCGTTAAATCAAAATGCTACAGTCAAAATACTATAGTCCTCTGTATAATACAATTATAATATCTCTAGGATGTTTCTCAAAATGATTTACTTGTAACGGTTCACGAGCGAGTTCATTTTACAAAACATTCACATTCTGTTCACTGTTTTCTGTGCAACTTGTAATGATAGCAATTTGCCTTCTAGGTAGTGCCATCGATCAGGTATCACAACACTTAATTGCAGTGCGATAGAAGACACGTCAGGCTTGCGATCAATTCTCACGTTGTATAGATTATTATTCTTCATTGAATCCGACATTGTTGAGTTGTTTGCAAAATGCCTATCCATGTCGTTTCACTGTAGTGGAAAACTAGTTTTTCATATGATAGCATATATCATTAAGTTATTGTGCGGTATATTGTAAAATTCGCGACTGCATGAAATTGGATAGGAACTTTGTAAGCATCCTCTTTAATTACGTTTCGAGTTTATGAACGACCACGTGAAAATAATGGTAAACTGGTCACCAAGCTGGAATGGAAGTCTCATAGACGAGGATCTACACAAGAAAAAAGTTTCAGGAATCTGCTTTTGTTTTCCGTTAACAATAATCCGCTTATCATCTTAATAATATTTTAACACGATTTAATCGAACTGTTCTTTACGTGTCCGAGTTTTTTACTATAAAAAAAATACGCCATTGCTTCGTTATGTCGCATAGTATCCCAGCTCATACCTCGGTACGATGCACGCGTTGTAACGAAAACGACAAAGTTAATTGGACGGAACATTTTCCGGACTCGGCTCGAAACTCGTTTGCGAGTTCGCGCGAGTCGTCGCAGGCTGTCCATGGTCGTCCGTCTCTACTGGGAACAAAGGTGGTTTAAAACGGTCCCTAATATAACTAACAAACACACATACACACACACACATGTTCCCCCTCTAATCAGTAAGTGCGCGCGGGCAATCGTAGGATAGCGATTAGGGTTGCTCACGTCTCTCGCGTTTACATCTTTGAAATCGTGCTGTCTTTGATGAGGGCTCTCTTTTGCAGAAGAAAAAGGATGTGTGGTTGGCCATTGGTAGTTTAAAGACCAAGGCATGCTCAACCCAAGAATGCAATGATTTCCTAAAACCCGATAAAGCGATTGGTAAGTCTGAGCCAGGTGCATGCGACCGTGTCGCATCGCTATGCTCGCCCCGTCTCTCTCTCTCTCTTCTCTCTCTCTCTCTCTTTCTCTATCACACACGCTCTCTCTATCTCTCTCTCTCTCTCTCTCTCTCTCTCTCTCTCTCACACTCGCTCTCTCTTTTCTTCTTGTACCTTCGCCTCTTCCCCCCTCAGCGCTCTCAGACCCATAGAGTCCTGGAAAGCAAACCAAAATAAAAGAGAAAGAGCACGAGAATTGACGCCGACGTCTGTCTCTGTCCTAGCATCAAAAGCATTGCTCTTCCGCAGCAAAGGGGAAGGTTGCTACCGTAGAAGTACTGTGACGGGCGATAAAAATAAAAGAAGAAATACCGTCTACCGTGCCTAATTCATTGTCGGATTTGACATTCATAATAGAAAAAGAAACAGAAAAAAGATATATACATACGTATATACATACATATATTTATCCATATATATATATATTTATATATATATTTTGTATATAGAACAATTGTCATTGCGAAATTTACTAACGTTCTACGATTTGCTTTTTGTCCCCTTGTTCGCGCGTCCCCGCCACATCGGCTGGCTGGCATGGCATTCAACTGTTTGCTGTTCGTAGGAGCAGGACTCCTCGTCCAAAGACAAGTCCTCCAAGGAGAATGGGTCTAGCCGCAAATCGTCAGGGTGAGTAGAAACATCTTCTTTGAATTTATTCTTCGTTATATTGAGAATGCGGAGGGCAGGACCACGAGACTCGCATTGCACGTCCCTCGTGTTTGAGAACTTTAATACTGAACGAAATTAAGTGACCTGCATATTATCACCTGTGTCAAAACTGTTGTGTCACTTTAGTCGGGGGAGGCTTGCTAAGAAACACCGGCACACAGCCGTTCATTTTTCACTCTCATCCGTCGCGCTTTTTGCGATTTTTACTTGAATCACTTTCAAGATAAACAGCTTGATATCATTGCGGCATTGAATGTTAACGATAAAGGGGCAACTGATCATTGTGATAAGGTCTAACAAAGTTTTTGTACGGCGATTAAAACGGATACAGATTTAGATTTTTATAAATGACGCTCTATGTCCGATGAGATTTGCACACCGTGTTAAACGTATGTACGTTTCGATTTCGATGTTCCATCCAGTTAAAATTCGAACGAACAGAAAGAGAGCAACGGTTGTGCATTGCCACTTTTTTTTCGCAATATACGTCCTTGTGACGTTACACGTATGTAATTTTTTTGCGCCATAATTGAAGCCAACGTTAATCGCCTAATAGACCCATCTGAAGTTTTATTCTCTTTGTTATAGACCCCATACAATTAGTGTAAATGCTGGTTATTTTGATAATTCCAAAGGTTAAACCTGAAAATGGTAAGTATATAGGAAGAATATCTGTACTACAGATTCCTCTTACGAACTCGAATCGTGTTTCCTCAAATTGCTCCGATTAAGGATCAGATCGTATAACGACGTAAAATTGTGAAATTGCACTCGCCTCAGGTTGCAGCCTATGTAATCACCGAGTCTTGAGAAACTCTGTTAGATAATGCCGGTATTAATAATAACGTAACTTTGAGTCATTGACTGAATTAAGCGATTATGCATTTTCCAGCGTTTCACTTGACTCATATTCATTTCAAAGCTAGTCGAAGCACTTGGATCATGAGAATATTATAGTGTAAATTTGACACGATCCGAACAATCAGATGCCAAAGAAGCATTCTTTGCCGATAATTAGCACTTGCAAAAAAGTCTTTGTGATATTTCACAAACATTATAAAATAATATTTTTACTTTTTTCCCTTTTACATATATGTGTGTGTGTGCACTTCGCACGACAATGAGATAACTTTGCAATTATCGTAAACGTTAACGCAGGTGTCACAAGATCAAAATTTTACTCGGAAGTTGTCGTCACTTCGTAATCCTTTTTTTTTTTTTAATTTCAGGGTATGTTTCAGACTTATCTCCAAATCTCTCCGAAATACTTCCGAGCCTTATCCCTGTTTTTTTTTTCCTAATGGAATTACTGTTCTTTTGTAGGAAAAGCAAGCATCGCTCTCGTTCCCGTTCACGATCGCGCGATCGCCGAGATAAAGATCGGCGGGATCGCGACAGAGACAGGGACAGGGACCGCGACCGGGACAGGGATCGCGAACGCGACCGCGACCGTCGACGCCGATCGCGATCTCGAGACAGGCGGGACCGAGATAGGGATCGGGACAATGATCGGGATAGGGATAGGCGAGACAGAGATCGGGACAGAGACAGAAGAAGGAAGAGATCGCTCACACCGTTGACCCTTCCCAGAGCCCGACCACCGTTCGGCAAAGGTCACAGCCCGCTTGGAATGTAAGTTCTCATTTACAAAATTTCTGCTTCTGCTGATAATATTTAATCAACTATTCTTTAATTACACTGCGTCGCGTAATTCCTAATTATATTGGGTTCATTCAAAAGTTCGTTCCGTTTTATCATCAAAATAGACATGTATAACATTTATTTATTTTAAAATACAATCAATCAATTAAGTATGCGCCGTTTTATTCGGTGATCTGCCATCTCTCTCTCTCTCTCTCTCTCTCTCTCTCTCTCTCTCTCNTCTCTCTCTCTCTCTCTCTCTCTCTCTCTCTCTCTCTCTCTCTCTCTCGGCTATCCAGGCAGAACAAATTTCTAAAAGATATCTTAAAGACGTTCTATTTTTTCAGATATCTTTAAGAGGTCTCTCAGAAATTTGTTTTGCCTGGGTACACGATACCGTGCTTATAGAAATTCGGGGATTTTTTTTTAGCAAGGAACTAATTGAAAAACAAACTTTTGCATCAATCTAATAGAAAGCGACTCGGGACAAATGATAAAAGTCGAAATAGAAATTGTATATTCAAGAATCGAATGTACATGACACGCTTTTTTTTTTCTCTCCACCTGATTCCAAATGCATAATTTGACTAGACCCAGTCACGGAATCACAAATCCGTGATTCGGGGGATATATTTATGCTAGATTAATGGATGTTAAGTTCCTCTTGCATTGTTACTATTATATGTAGTAACATGGATTAATATTCCACAGTATCACCACTCTAAAAAAAAGTTTCTAAGCCAGCATTTTCTTTGTTTTTCACACGTTGCCACGTCGTTGTTTTTGACGGTTACTGAAAATGATTATCTTGTGCATTTCCAGAAACGACGAGTTGACACCTGAGGAACGGGATGCCCGGACCGTGTTTTGTATGCAACTAAGTCAGCGGATCCGTGCACGCGATTTGGAGGAATTCTTCTCCAGTGTCGGCAAAGTGCAAGATGTCAGGCTTATCACCTGTAACAAGACGCGAAGATTTAAAGGAATCGCTTACGTCGAATTCAAGGATCCGGAGAGCGTGACATTGGTAAGTATGCGCCGACATTGTTGATTATTATGTATTTAACGAGTAGCATTTCGCGAAATTCTAATGTGACTGTCTGAACTTTTAATACGTCTAACGAAATTTTTTTTTTAAAGGATCAAACAGAATTATCGGCCAATTAAAGATACTTCTTTGGCGTATTTTTGCAGGCGCTCGGTTTATCTGGTCAGAAGCTCCTTGGAGTTCCTATCGTCGTACAACACACGCAAGCTGAGAAGAATCGCATGGGCAACTCGATGCCGAATCTCATGCCGAAAGGTCAAACTGGACCTATGAGATTGTACGTAGGATCTCTACACTTCAACATCACGGAAGATATGCTGCGTGGGATCTTCGAACCTTTCGGGAAAATCGATAATATCCAGTTGATCATGGATCCAGAAACTGGACGAAGCAAAGGCTACGGTTTCCTAACAGTGAGTTTTCATAGTTTTATCACACGATGATCGAATCGGTATCTTACAATCCATGTGTCGACGTTTTGAATCAATCTTATCACTTATCTTTACGAGACACTCATTCCTCATTGTGTTTTCAGTTTAGAAACGCGGACGATGCGAAAAAAGCCTTGGAACAGTTGAACGGCTTCGAACTCGCTGGCAGACCTATGAAGGTTGGAAATGTGACGGAGCGCACTGATCTGATTCAAGGACCGTCTCTTCTCGACACGGATGAGCTGGATCGCAGTGGAATCGACCTCGGGGCGACCGGGAGGTGCGTAAAACATACTAAACAAAAAGAGAGAATAAGTATGACAGAGTGCGAGAGGAACTTCATAATTTCAATTTCGCGTAATATCGGTTCTTGCAGATTACAATTGATGTTTAAATTGGCGGAAGGCACCGGCCTGGAAATACCACCCGCAGCGGCAAATGCCTTAAATATGGCACCAGTCATGACAGCACCGCAACCACCGCCTCAGGCTGCGCCTCCCATCGCGACGCAATGTTTCATGTTGTCAAACATGTTTGATCCGCAAAAGTAAGTCTATTTTTTTCTCTCTCTCTCTCTCTCTCTCTCTCTCTCTCTCTCTCTCTCTCTCTTTTTTTCCGTTGAACGGGCCTTCGCGATTAGTTGCATATAAGTAGACCTGGTGTCACGTGCCATTGCACTCACTAGGGGGTATATATATATGCTAGAGCAAGATGTGTTATTGAAGTTACAGCGTATGTGAATGTATAGTTGCATACGAGTTGTCGGTAACATGACACACTTATTACAAGAACTATTCGAGTAATTGTGTGTACATAGGATGGGGCAGTAATTTATTATCACTTTAAACATAATGTGAGAGAGTAAGACAAAATATATCTAACAGAAATTGCACCGATAATGATAGTCGTTTTAAACAGCTGTAAATGTAAATTTGTCCTTCATCTAGTCGTTAGCAAAATATTTTGATCTTTCAAAGATATTCAAAGTGATGATGGTTGTTGCCTTATTCTGTATTGTATAGTCTGTATTAATAGTTCTTACTTGAAACTTGTCCACTGTATTGTATAGTCTGTATTAATAGTTGTTACTTGAAACTTGTCCAACATACACACATACACGCAGTTACAATTATGATTCAGTTGAAAAACTCACATATAATTCTAAATTTAAATCTAAGCATCTTACCTGTGAAACAAATGTCAAGTAACAACTATTAATACGGATCTGTATGATCTATATTTGAGCCTGTAACAGAAAGACGTATTATATCGAATCGATTAACTTCGTGTTCGAGATCGTGATCGAACGTTTTGTTTCCAGCGAGACGAATCCTAACTGGGCGAAGGAAATCCGCGATGACGTGATCGAGGAATGCAACAAACACGGCGGTGTGCTGCACGTGTACGTGGATCAGGCGTCGCCGCAGGGCAACGTGTACGTGAAATGTCCGACGATCGCAACAGCCGTAGCGGCGGTGAACTCGTTGCACGGCCGATGGTTCGCGGGTCGCGTAATAACCGCTGCGTACGTACCCGTGGTGAATTACCATTCGCTATTTCCGGACGCGATGACCGCGCTGCAGATGCTGGTGCCCAGCGCACCGCGAAGAGGCATGTGATGATCCTGAGCAAAGGACGACTCACAATCGCAATCCGCTGGCGTGTAAATCTTTACATAGTATTAAGTTTCTGTCCCTGTACATCACACAGTTTCTTACTATTCGGCGAGACCTTTTTTTCTTTTCTCTCTTTCTCTCCCACTTTTTTTTATTTTATTTTTTTTTTATTTGTTATTTTTGAGGCGAAAAGAAGAAGAGCGTCCGAGCGACGGATCTCGCACGTTGAGGACAATTACTTGCGTTATTTGTTGCAATAAATTCATACATATGGCATATCGTGAAAGCAATGCGTTTGATCTCACAATGCGCCCTCTCGCATCGTGCGAATTTTGCGTCGGAATCCGTTCTGTAATCCAAGATTCACTCGTGACAGTCTACCGGATGTATCATTTTTTTCGACACTTTGAATCTGGCTATTCGGATATGCACGCGCTAGAGAGGCTCGATCAATTGTGTGTTAGACAAGTTACTCGATGGTTTTTCTAATTCAAGTTCCTTCTGTTAATTTGCTTCTAACGAATATATTAATACACTGAATTTGTCCTTGTTATATGCAACTGCAATTGTATATCTACGTGACAACAAATATATGTAGTGAGGAATCGTAGGAATGGCGAAGAAAATTCTACATGAATGAAATGCGCACTACTGATAGTTTTTTTATATTGGATAATTGGCAAAATCACCTGTAATGGCGGTGAAAATTTTCACGAGGATACAAGAGTCAAATTACCAATTTTTCGTATTGAGACGTGGTGAGAGGTACTTTTGGTGGATCTATAGTCTTATTATAATAAGGTTTACATGCGCGCACCTTGTTCCAGTGTAAGGATAATTGTACGTTTTTATTTCTCACGAAATTAAGAGGACAGTTATTTATTGGCGCGATGTAACGTTTCGTCTCATATATGTCGGCGTGTTGTATTTTTGCGGTCGCAGTAGAATACGTTATGCGTAGCGAGATATTCAGTCGACTGTTACGGTAATGAGGTACATACATACATACATGAATGATGAAACAAAGTGACGACCTTAATCCTCTCATTCCTAATTCATACACTAAATTATTACTTATAATTATATAAGACAGAAAAGAATAAAATAAAAGAATCGTAATATAAAATCAACTTGATTTGAAATTGTCCACGGGTTCAATGATTATACCAAGTGATACTTTTGTATAACTAACATGTTAGAATTTAATAAAAGCAAAACAGATTTCGAATCACAATGCGTGTGCTTGATCAGGCAGTTCCCTGAAGTCGCTTTCGCTTTAATGCATTGAGAACAATTCGCGTTGAGTACCGGTGCAACAGGCACATTGGGCGAATCGAGCGATAAAGTTCTTACTGGAATTAATCAATGAGGTATCACGTGTTTCTATTGGGGAGGAAAGGATTAAGGATATGCTCGTAATGGCTGTAATGGCTCGTAGCAGGAACGTATGTGAAGTTGGCCCCACTTTTTCGAAATAAAAAAAAAGAATAGACTTCTGATTGTCCCTCAAAGAGTTCTCGATTGATATTAAAAAAAGTTCCGCCGGTTAAAGCGATAAAAACACGAAATTAAAGTACGGAGGGAGGGAGGGCAACTTCACGATTGTGTAACTTCGAAATGATATAACATTTTTATCTTTAATTTTAGCGCAACCCCTCTTCGCCCGTACTTTTATTTCGTGTTTTCACCGTTTTAATCGATGGAACTCTTTTTAATATCGATAGAGAATTCTAGAACTCTTTAGGAGACAACTAGAATTTTACTAATTTTTTGTTTCATTTTGAAAAAATGGGGTCAACTTCACAGACGTCGTAACGGGACTTGGTGTCGAAGATTACTTTAGAACACACATTAGATTTGTTACATTTATACGAAGGAGAAAGGGAGAACGTGTGATAGAAAAGAGGAGGTCTGCAGGTACTAAAAAAAAAATCTTGATCAATTGTTCCATAAATTCATGATACCGTTTGCATGTATCAGAGTAATTTAGAACGATGTCGCATTAGAATAAGCCGTGATTGCAGATTGAACGGTGCTACTGATCAAAATGTAAAGTAGACTTCACTATGAAATCTTAGTCTTTAATCGGTAAAATTCAATTTTTAATATTTCCAGCGTCGAAGCCACGTTCATGGTTATCACGCCGAAAATAATGGACCAAGTCAATTCCATTTTTGGAGCCGCGTGTGGATTTCCTCTATTGTCGAGGTGCTCCTAAAAGTTCATCAAATTGCTACGAACTAGAATACAAGATAATCGTTCGAACGATAAAAAGCAGTTCCGTAGACGATAAAAGAATCTTCTTGTGCTTGTGCATTCACAGTCACTGATGATATATGCCTTAAATTACGGATTGACAAGCCATTGCTCCTAAACTTTGAACTACGTAGAGAAGTCGAAACTTGGAAGACACTTTTCGGATTAACAATACGATGATTCATACGTAGCGTAGAGTTGTGAATTTAGAATTTCGGCGTTTTGAGAATTCGCTCCCGAATAGCTGTGGGAAATGTCCGCTCACACGTATACAGCAGACCGTAAACGTATCGTAAAAGTTCGAGTCGCGACACTGAAGTCCCGATTTTTCGCTTAGATAGAGAGTAGTACGCGACGTTCACGATAGACACAGCTAGCGATTCTCTTCGTTACCTGCAGACCTCTACGACCGTGCCCTACGAAGAAGAAGAAAAGGAAGGAGATGACAATTAATCTGTGTATATAAGTTTTTGTAAATTAATTCTTAACTAGCTGTAAACGTAAGTATATAATGTTACTTTGCTGTATCTTCATATTACTGAAATGTGAATGTATACTTTGTCGATTATAAACCAGATTAATGTGACGTGCACATGTGAAGGATCTGCTCTCTCGCGAGAAATCGCACATTTCTCCGGATTAGTGATACCGCCACTCCTTGTTCGAATCGCTTCTTATCCTAAAACAGGACACGCCGACGTCACTTTCGGCGACGACCTACCAATTGAGCCGACACTTTTTAATTCACTAAATCATATATTATTATATATTATACAATTGTTTCTTTCTACAAGACTCCGATCAAGCTTGATACAGCCGATAAAAAATTAGCAGTAAAAGAAGAAATGAGGTTAACACTGCGTGAGAATAATGGCTTTCGATGGAAATACTGGATTTTCACATTGAGACGAGATAATTGGAGATCCGAGTCGGGATGTGATGCGGTCAAGCGAAAGCCAATGTGTTATTACAACGTAGTCCAATCGACGATTTGAGCGAATATTTTACTCTTTATTCTCTAAATTTCAAATCCGCGCACAAGGAGATGTGATCGCTGGGAAACACCACGGATGGCAAACCCGTGTGGAGGGTTATCTCTTCTTTACTGGGCATTGGGATCACCTGCTCCACCTCGAATTTGTCCCTCTCGTAGAATATGTAATCGAGACAAGCGGAAAATTCCGGCGTATAATTCGTATACTCCGGCGTGCCGCACGCGCTGGACATCCGGAGATCCTGCGTCAAGGATACATTCTTCACAGCTTCTTCGGGGTCTGAAATGCAGAACAGATAATTTTATACCGTGGACCGAGTATCGAAATTATCTCGCTAGTGATGTTGCGTTATGTTATGGAAAATTTCAATAGGAGAGACCGGATTATCTGGTTGTTACACTTTTTACAGATTGATTAAAAGAAAAAGTTGTATGCAATATCTCATAATATTGTGTACATTATTAATGTAGCCATATTCTTTAGGCAAAAGAAAAAAAACATTAATTATATATATATGTATATATTTATGCACAAAGAAGTTATTTAATTATAAACAAAGTCGCACAAATGTGACATCTCACTTCATGGGTCAATTGTCACATGTCTTTATGTAGAGAAAACACAATAATTTGTTTAAATGTGGTCTTTTAATATATTATTAAAATTAATGACATCACAATGTAATATATAAAGCTGACTTAAAAAAATTACATATATTTATATGTTACATCATTAATAAGAAAACAAATCATTTATAGAAACTTAAAGCGATATTAAACTGATTGGATTTATTTGAATAATATTCGGCGATCAGTATGTATGCTTTCATGTGTAAAGAATGTCATAACATGACAACCAGTCTTAGCGGATTTGAGTCAATTCACTCCAAACGTTCATTTACAATAAAAGAGATTATATTTATAAATAATATTGCAGTAACGATGAATTAAATACTGGGGCAATAAGTAAAAAGTATAATATTTCTTACAAATAAAGAGAAATTGCGATTAGTACTCCTAAAACCAACAGAATATTAATAATAGAGACGAGACAGAATTTTCTCACGCATCTAATTAAAAAAAAAAAAATGCTTGTAAATATGATATGCGATGCTTTGACTATAAGCCGTTTTGTACATAAACTAACATAATATAAGCAAGCTACACTATAAAAGAGAATATTCTCCTTTATTTATTACGAGAGATATAAGCTTGTGATTTTCAGACACGGCGGTCTCCCCTATACGATAACAGTATTGAACGTCTATACACCACTTACTGTCGATATTATATCAAAATTTGTACAATACTTTTATTTACCCAAATCGACTTTTTCTGATTATTGTATAATATCAAGAAATACCAGTATAAAAACGGTATTCTCGATACCATTCAATCCGATCAATCGGATCAATACCGTTTCAATTCCTGTTTTATACAATTTCGCAGAGTGTGACAATTATGCAGATTCCGGTTGCACTATGTCGCATGTGAGGTAACGAGTAAGATTAGAGGAAAGAAAAACCAAGATTTCGCAAATCAAGGTCAAGATAAGAAGAGAGTAACTCACTGCTCCTCCAGTCATCGCAGCTTTCCGGAATGTAATTCTCGGTGAACAGCCGATATATGCCGCGTTCCGGCACGCTGTTGAAGTCGCCGCTAAGTAACACGCTCACGTTACACCTGGGATTCTATCGACACAGTAAAGTACATTTGTAATCATCGGTAAAGATTCGCAAAGATGTTGAGATAAGTAACGTTTTCCGGGCGACATCAATTTCCGTCGGAATACCCGGGACCTACGATGAATGTAGGTAATGGATTTTTCGCGGGAAGAAACGTTTACCTCTTCGCGCATCGCGCTCGCCACTTCGTGCAGGTACGTGATTATGTAGTATCCTTGCATCAAGCGGATGTGGCATGCGTCGGGCCGGAAATATAAATGTGTATTGCCGACGATCAGGATCTCGGATGGGTTCTCTTTCGATTGCAGCATCATCACCTGAATCGCAATTAAGTTAACTCCGATCTTCTCGATCATCGAGTGCCAGCGAGGCAGAGAAATCATACACGATCGTACCTGAATAGTCGTGTTTCTGCTTAAGAATCTCTCCTTCATTTTCTCGTTCTCGATCTTGTCCCAGACCGCTTTGAATTTCGGGGAATTGACATTGTGACTCATCACCCGGGATTCGATATTCAAAATCTCGAATCTCTCATGATTGAAAAACATCGCGAGTCCCTCGGATACCTCGTTCTTCGTGACGAACACGCCGTCGTAGTTCAGCATGGACAGGGACGGTAACAAGTCGCGTTCATATATTTTACTATCCACTTCTTGCAGGCAAATTATGTCGCTGTTAAACCCTGCAACGATTGTGAATCGAGATTGCGAGAAATCGGCCTTGACTTTCAGTCGGCCGGCGATAACTGGTCGGTACTGATCGCGAATTTCAAATATCTTAATCATGGAATCTGCTACGTTTGATAAAAAAAGATAGAGCAGCTGGTAAATCACATTTGATGTATATACCTATAATTTCTTTGAGTATCAATTGCTTCCTGTAGTCAATGTCTAACGCGTATCCCGGACAGTACGGAAACAACACGTCCTTGGAGTAATCGGAGTCAGTGTACGTATCCGCCAATATATTGTAAGACATTATTCTGAAACTGAATTTGTTTTTTCGTTCAAATATAGAATACATTTGTCCATTGGAACGTACAATATGCTCCAGATATTGTATATATTGAAACATATACCTGTATTTTATAGAATTTGTATATATATTTACATATACAGAATGAGGCATTTAAATTGAAACACTTTAATATAACAAAAATAAAGCAAAATAGAAAGAAATGTCACCTTAATATTTTTATACGCAGAATAAACAGAGAAATCGATTTGTACTAAAAAAAACCATATAATTCCAAAAAAAAAACGAAGTTAACTTTGATATGACCTTGAATTATTGATAATATAACGAAGTTAAGATCATCCAAATATGGCCTCCTCCAAACCCTACAACTTTTGTGTGAAACATTTCTTTCTATTTTGCTTTATCTCTGTTACATCAGGGTGTCTCAATTTAAATGCCCCACTATGGGCAAATTTATATTTATATTATATAAAAGTACACGTATAATATTTAAAAAATGAAATACCTTTGGCCCGATAATTTGTTCTTCGTGAATTCATGCCGAATGTCGAAGGGACACAGGCCAGGACCGGCCTCTACAGTGCCCTTCGATTGCACTTCGATGCTAGTGCCAGAATCCGACTCGTTTCGAGGCACACAACTGATCTTCAAGTTGCAGCCGATGTCCGACACACTCGGTACGTACAGATATCCCTCACTAACGTGCGTCCACGAATTCGGCTCATTTTTAACAGCGTTGTTCCGGTACCAGTTAAATATCGATTGCTTCTTGTCAGTGTACATCGACTCGAATTTAGCCGGATAAGTTGGAAAGCCCACCAGCATGCTCGCAGGCAGTGAAATTTTGGAGATGTAAGGTAAATTCCGTTTCACATCGTACGTCTTCCCCAAGATAACTAGCTTAAGCTCCGCAGAGTCTTGCAGCAAGCTCTTGCAAAGCACATTGCCGTCTACCTGGACATCGTCCTTGAGAAGCATTATCTTTCCAGAGTCTACATTGTCAAGCGGCAATGTAGATATTTCGAGAGAAGTATTCTTCTTTTTCTTCCTCTGTATCTGGAAAGAATACAATTGTTCCTTGCATTGTTTCATTTTTTCTCAGTGTTTCTCTGTGTTGGTTAATATTTTTTCGTACATACTTAATCTGTATTTCAATAAAATTGATCAATACATCCTTCCTTCAAACATTCACCGGTATCTTTAATATCTTCCTCACCTTTTGGTTTACAAATTTGCAGACATTTGTATTGATTCTAGTTAGGAAACTGTTGACACTCTCGGTAGTTTGCCTGGAGAAGTTGAACTGACGATCTATTTTTACAACTTCATCCACATAGCGGAACGAGATGTTGAACACATCGTTGCCCTTATCGTAGCGAAGGAATGCCTCGTTCATTTTCAATATGTGCCTCGGCTGCGTCTGTGTGCCACGAAAGGGCAAAAATTGCGTGAAGATCGACGAGACCAGATAGCTTCTTTGTACCCACAACTTAACTGCAAATGTGCTTCGCATTATAACTGGCTACACCATTTATTGACCTGAAAATAAGCTTAAAAACAGCTTATAAAATAGCTTATAAAATAGCTTTAAATAAATAAATATGCTCAGCCTTTGTAGCAAGAATATGTATATATCATTAATATGTTAACATAAGTGTTTTAAAAAATATGTTTTGTGATTATACATACATAACCTCATGTCGTGGAGTAAAATCAGAGAGTGAACCAATGTTCGATTCAGTTTTTATATAAAAAAAAATTAAAGTAATTACCTTATTTATATTTTCAGGAAGATTCTTATTCCTCGTTGGGATAAACGTAGAAAAGTTTATCCGATCAGCTGTTCGACTTCGTGCACTTAAAAATATAATTCTGCCTGACTGGCCATTCAGTAGTTCTTTACTACATTTGACTAACTCTCCAACATACGATATCTAACATACATGTACAAAAACATTTAAAGGAAAATATTCTAAAGAGCTAATTAAATCGGAATGTATCACAGTTGCTTATATATTTTCACTTTAAAAAAGTAAAAGAATCAAATGCACACGTAGGATCTTCTCATGAGAATAGTTGTATTCAAAAGAAGCCTATTGGTGAATCGCAAATTTCGTAAAAAGTAATGATAATCAGACGTTTCAGAAAGTACCTTAGAGCTTGAGAAGTATTTAGTTTATAAAAAATATAGATTCAAATATAATGTTCATTCTTTTTAAGATGCAAAATGAATTTAAATTAAAATCCGTCGGATGCTAACATTATCTTATAAACTTGTCAAGTTGCACAGCTCAAATAAAACATATTGCACGCAAATAGAATTTATATTATTTTAAAGCGCAAATCTCTCACTTTAATTTGCATATACGTAGATCGCAGTGCGTTTTTTCCGCAGAGTGATTTAACAATGAAGCAAAAATGATACTTTTAGTTTTTATCGCTTATAAAGCCAAACGAATAAACGTACAGAGTTCGTCATAAAACGAATAGAAAGTTGAAAGTTCCCTCTTTAAGATGCATATATCGTATTTTTTACACAAGTGATTTTTCGATGATGAAAACTGAACTGATAGATGAAATTGAAAACTGAGCAGTCGCCATTTTTCAATTAGCTCCATATCTCTTAACATTAAACAATAGTAACGTTATGAATTTAATATACATGAAAAACGGAGACCTTAAGCTTTCGAATGCTTTTCAAACTATGTCGTTATTATTATTTTTACAGGAGTCACAGCTTGTTAAATTCGGCTTATACTTCAATATAAGAAAAAATGCAGCTGACAATCCGTTTAGTCATACTACTTGAAACTATTGATACTTGTATTGACTTCTGTCCACAGGACGTGGCAACGCTTGCCGCGCGGCGGAAGTTTGCGCGAAAACCAATAAACTTCCAGTTCTTGCCGAAAAACAGTATGTTGATTGGCTACAGGACAATTTCATGGGAGCGTCGAACGTCGGAGCCAATCAGCAAACAAGAGTCAAACTTCGACCCAATGAGCAGACAATCTATTGTCTGACAATCTATTGGCTCCGACACTCGACGCTACCATGAAATTCTATTTAAAATTTGATACTCTATACAGAAATTTGTCCTAAGCCGATATTCATTCGTCGTACAACGCAGAGAAGACAATGGAGTTTTTGGCCACTACCCGTGTACAATTGATGACTCATCCTCTTCACAGTTTCGAGTTTTGGCACCCTGTGACTTCTTCGTATTTCCATACATCAAGAATAAAATGCGTGGATTGAAATTTAATTGAAAACAACAATAAAGAGATGATTCAAAAATCATTTTCAAATTTATAGTCTTTACTTTTTGGCTATTTTAATTGAGTTTAATTGGGTTTTTACATCGAGAATTCATTTGTATAAAAAATGCGATATATACATCTTAAAGAGGAAACTTTAAGCTTTCTATTCATTAATAACAAACGTCGTATATGACGTTAATTTGTCTTTTATAAGTAATCACAACGAAGTCATTTTTGTTTTAATGTTAAATAATTCGGCGAAAAAGATCGCATTGCAATTCATACATTGTATAAATCAAAACGGGAGATTTGCACTTTTAAATTATAAAAAATCTGATGATAGATATTTGCGCGCAATTTTTTGTTTGCGCAATGCAACTCGACAAACTTTACTAAAAATATCTGTATCCGACACATCTCGATTTAAATTCGTGTAATTAAATAACATTTAACGAGTGACATTCGTATTTTATTATATGCATTAGAATTTTATTAAATAAAACCAGCACAATCCAAAGGGTGAATATTTTATAAACATAATTTATATATTTACCATAAAGACGTATATGCGCTAAAAATTGTATGCAATAATGATTCTAAACATTTACATATATATATTTGTGTAATAATATCCTAAAATGCTATTATTATCAACAAAGATTTAATACCAATAATATTTGGTTTCCTTGACACAGCAGAAATTCTCCTGATTATAATTGTAATCCATCTTGACGTTTTATTACACACAAGAAATTTTTATCAATCATTTTAATCACGTTATTATTTCACATTATACTAGATGAATTCTATCGGTGATTCTCCAATTGCACATGCTACGTTCAGAAACCTTACATACAATGCCGAAAATTATATCGACAGAAATGGAATAAGTTTATCCAAGCTACGTAATTAAGCTTGAAAAGGTTCTTACAAGTGAGATCTTCTTACCAATTTTAAAAAATTCTTCAAATACATTATTCAAATATTTCACAGTAGTTACAGGATATCCTGTGATTTAGAATTCACTGGAAATAAGCTAAATCTTTCTGTCTTTATGCAACAACATGTAGTAATGAGTTTATTTCAAATTATGTAAACAATGTTACATTAAATTCCCCTGCAATCGTAAAATTAATAAAAGATGTGTATTTGAGTATAATTGAATACCAAAATTACAACTAGAATGCAACATAGAAGTGTGAGAGGGGAAATTTAAAAAGTAGTTAATTGAATCTTGAATAGAAGTCGAGCTCAATTGAATCTGAATTGGAGTTAAATTAAATCTACTAAATACACATTAAAATAATTTAAATACATCTTTGTCAAATTGTTCCCTTTCCTGGTGAATTATATACATATAATCATAAGTTTATAAATTTTTCAAAGCATCTGCCAAATATGCACATGGCAGACATGCATGCCAATAACACACTTCAGGTGTAAAATACGAATTACTGAGATTATATAATATTGCATTCAGAGTTTCTCGCAATAATTACAGTCTATATTATAGTTGTCTGTGTGGTTGTACTTACAAATATTAGACTCTTATTTCGCTTGTTACAAATCATTGAGTTATCGGAATGACTGGTACCATAATGACAATCGACAGTACCACGATTTTACGTGCAACGCTGAGTGCAAATTACACGCGTTGCACTATTAGCTTTACAAATGATTTCTAAACGATTTAAAAAACCAACGTATAAACATGTTTCGTTCAAAGGAGACACATGAGCAAAAGAAACCTTCCCTGGTTCTGTAGTCGAACAATTAAAATTAAAAGTCTCACCCAATCTGCATCGCACTCAGTCATTCGTCATGCAATTTATAGTTTACGTATGGAATAAATAATAGAAACAAACGCACATGGTACATACATGTTCTCTCGGTGAGAACATCGTGTAGACTTTGATAAATATATGAATCTTCTTTGGGTGTACATAGAAACACGTTGTATGTGATGTATGTAATTGTACCTTGCGCCAAACATTCTCGTTACACCCGAAGACAATTATATACGTGTAAATATAATATACATCTATCTACAACAGACTCCTATTTATTAATTTAGTTACACGGTTTGTCTATCAGGCTTGCATTTCCTGTAGTCTTTTACACGAAGGCATTTCAAGATTTTTAGCTTTAAAAAATAGATCTTGGTCTCCAAAATTACGGGCCTTCCACATCATACTTTCCCCTGCACATCAACGTTATAAAAAATTAAAAATTGTTTCAGATATTAAAGTGAATTATGTAACTCTCTATCATAAATGTTATTGCAGTAGAGATATATTAAATATGTTAAAATAATTTATGTATATATATAATGTACGTACTATAATTCTTCTCTCTGGCACAAGTTTGTCTCAAACTATTCATGAATTCCTCTTCAATTGAAATTTCTAATCTACGTAGGCTGCCTTGATATTCACTATGAAAGTTTTCTTTAACATAATACGGTATTTTTAAACCTTGCGTCATCCTGGATACGGAATATTTCCTGTGAACGAGGGGAAAGCATTAATATATATATTTTAATTACATATCATGCAAGGTTTTATTACAAAATAATAATTACCTCACTTGAATATTTAACTATACTCACGAATTAGAATGAAGACTATAAACTGGATCAGATATGAAAAAACTACTCATCATGGTTAACAATATTAATAACAGAACCGGTAACATCTGAAGAAATGTAGTGTATCCATTAGCTTGCTACAAAATAAATTAATTTCGTTTGTAAAATTCTTCTCGGAAATCGTTGGACATCCAATTATCGTTTCTACCTGGGAATGAGCATGTTGTGCCTGTGCATCCTGTTGCCTCATCCATCTTCCACCTGGCCGACGCATATAAAACTCTTGTTGCGGGAAACCGACGCCAAAGAACATGTTGAACAATTCCTCAGCCGTGATATCAGCTAAAACAGAAATATGTTTTTATATATACAAACTGAAGTGAGAATTTTCCCGAATATAGGTTATTTTTTTCAAATACCTTCGAACCCTCGAGTATAATTGTAATGCGTATGACCTTGACGAGTTTGTGTATTTTGCATTCGTTCTTCTTCAGGACCATACATATCATATTGTTTTCGTTTCTCAGCATCGGTAAGAATAGCAACTGCATTTCCGATTGCTGGAAGAAGATAGACTACCTTTATCTAAAGACCTCTATAAACGTAGCAATTCCGATTTTCATTTCGCATAAGAATATTGACTCACCCTTGAAGGCTTCAGCAGCACCTGGTGCTTTATTCTTGTCAGGATGTAACTGAAGCGCTAACTTTTTATACGCCTTTTTAATATCACTGTCAGTAGCTTCTTTGGTGACTCCTAAGATCTCGTAATAATCCTTGCATTTCTTTATCCTGCAATAGGCAATATTCTTGTGTTGAACGAATATTAAAAATTAAATAACTGTACAAACTGTAAAACAGATAAATAGTTGAAACAGGTGTATTCATTCCATAGATATTAACAACCGTTCAAACTGCTGAAATAATCCTAAAATGGCTACCTTTTCACGTGATCCATCTGTTCTTTTGTATATTCACTTCCAGTCTGAGGATGTGTTCCATCCTTAGTAACGTTTTGACGCTTTCTAACTGTAGGTTCAGCCGACTCAGGCTTCTGGTTTTGCTTTGAAAGTATCGACACTTCTGCTAACAAGTCTACAAACATAATTAATTGATACTGGCAATGATCGTTCTGTTGTAATCATAAAAATATGTTTATGTAAAAACTACATTCGTGTCGGTGAATAATTAACAATCTACTGACATGATATAAATATGTATAACACGAAAAAACCAATAACAATTGCCTGTTCTACTGCTGTAGAAATCTCCGGAGTCACGTACCTTCGGCCTTCTTCATCGGGTAAAGTTTTTGAGCTTTACGAGCGAACTTTTCAGCCTCCTCGTATTTCTTCTCTCGCATGTGGCGTTCCGCGAGTTCCATGCAACGTTCCGCCTCATCCTTGTTGCTGTCCATTTTGTACGTCGAGAGTGAGCCGAGTACTTCACGTTTTCCTTATTCGATCGTGAAATGACGGAGCAAAATGGCAAATAAATCGCCAAACAAGAATTCAACTAACACACCACCATGGTATAACTTAATTACGTCATGAACATCGTCACGACAGCCGAGCGGTGGTCGGGATGCAGACGAACACACGAAGAAAGCTGTCAAGCGCCATTAAGCTCGATATAGGGCGGAACAATTATTAGAAACGGAGCGAAACGTAATGCTTTACGAGCTTGGCAGTCGTACTTGTAAAACAAATCCGTTGTACGTCGATGAGAAATTTCCGCGACCCTGCGAAACTTCTTTTCTTCGACACTCGATATCCTGACTCGCTCGGAAGCTACGAAAGTTCTTTAGCTTCTGTATGATATCAGCTTGGGGATGACGTTACGAACGTCGTACTTGTTGAATACGGATTGGTTATCGCCATAGGGAATTTCTAAAAGTCACGCATTAAAGCCCGTAACGGAAACGTGGACGAATGGAGAGCCTGACCAATCGGAACGAGCCAGCTGCGGATCCAATCGCACTCCCTCGATCTTCGACCCGATTAGCGACCCTGATGCGTGCTCGGCTTTAAACTCTGTACGAAGCGTCCGACGAAACGTCGAGTGCTTTTCTATAGAACATTTCGTTTGAGTTCTCCAACGGTAACGTGTGTGCCCTTTACTGGTCTTTCGTAGAGCGCGACGAACACGACGTGCACGATGGTAGGTTCTGCGCGGGATATCCGTTTAATTTATCGTCATCTTGTTGTTTCGTACGAAAATACGTTTACCAGGTACATCTGCAGGCCTAAATTTCGTTTTGTCTGTGTTACAGTCGGCACACAAGACATTCATTATCAAGCGAAAGCTTGCCAAAAAGCTGAAGCAAAACAGACCGATCCCACAGTGGGTGAGAATGCGGACCGGCAATACTATCCGGTAAGTTTTCAAATCACTTCATTTCCGGACGATGAATTTGTTCTGTTTCGAAATATTACGCAGATAAGTATTCAGAACGTACACACGACGATGTTAGTACACTAACATAACAAGAGGTGTGAGATTTTCAATATCACTCGTATTCTAACGGCGATAACCGTGCTCTGTTAGGAAAAATCGATAATCACACGTATTCATAGCAAAATTCCTAATCAGAACTACCAATGAATCAACTTGTTAACGCGTTAACCCTTTAACACGTTCATCGCCAAGCTGAAAAATACGAAAATTGGATTTTCGTATTTTTTATATTTTTTTATTTAGTTTTTATTGTGCTAAAATAAGTTAATATATTATTTATACGCTTTTATTATTATATACATAGGATTTATGTACTCTAAATATCTATTACACGATAACGCGTGATCGGCCGTTTGGTGAGAACTCGCATCACGCGATATCGCGTGATTGGCAATGAACGTGTTAAATACTGCAGATGTTTGTATGTGCACAGAATTTTTAAAAGGTCGAGGTATCATTGATTATACATGATTTCTCGTTGGTTTCAGGTACAACGCAAAGAGGCGTCACTGGAGGAGGACAAAGTTGAAGTTGTAATAAGTTCAAGATGTATCTCTCAGTGGGAATTAAATTAAGGTGTTAAAACAAAAAGAAACTCGTTGTCATATTTATTCGTATCTTTGTGTATTAATTTCCACATACCATTAATTACAAAGAATTCACTACTTTGCGAGTATGCATCATCTTTAACCAGTCCTCCAACAATTCCTCGCCGCTCTTAGGATGTGGCAGGTAATAATGTTTAGGAGGTGGTCCTTCTTCTAAGCGTACGAAATAGTGGCAATGTCTGTAGTGGATGGTTCCTATGCGCATTCTAGCGTGGCGCCGTATACCTTTTATCACCACACCTTTGGTCGCAAAGGACTCGGCTACAAAATTGGATTTGTTTTTTTGTTGTTGAATTATTATATCTTCACGATAAATCTATAGTATTATGTGCGTATAATAAGAACAAATTCACTCACCGACCCACAAATTGCTCTTATATTCTACATTATGTTCCTCCACAGCTAAGCGTTGAGCTTCTAAAATAACTTCCTTTGCAATCGCAGCACCTTTTTTGGGTATAAAGCTCAACTGTTTCACAGCTTCATCCACTGACATGCCTCTTACAAAACAAGCGATATACCACATATTTTTGATACTGTACTTAATATTAGCCTTCATATGACATACATACTGAAAAACAAATATACATACACATTTGGTTATTGATCGAGTTACTTAATATTATACATAATATGTGACATACAGCAGGTCTTCTTTCTTCACCAGGTTTTTGTGGTGGGAAAATAGTCTCATTATATCGAAGAAATCCAGTCGGGGCCTCATGTTTTATTGCGCCTTTGTTGCATATTGCAGAAGAAAGATGTAAACTGCATGTTGGTATAAAATTAGTTACCTTTGCTGCATTTGGTATGATATCAGTCTTATTCACGACAGATTTACCACATAACGCCAGATACTTTACACATTGACGAATATTCTGCATTTTCTACAAAGATAAAATTTTGTTTTAATTTATACATAAGATAACTATATCTAAAAAAAGCCTAAATAATATATAAAATTTGTGATGTAGGAAATATAAACATTAATAACAATACAGCTGTTCGGCAAAGAATTTTCTAACAAATATAAGAATCGTATAATTATTAATTATATAAATCTTATAAAATAAAATAGACTTTAAAAACCGTTAGGATAAAACATAACCTATGATAATCGCTTATCTCGCAAAAAATATAATGAAATAAAAAATAAACGTCTGAGAGGTAAACATAATACCTTTGTGAGAAAAATTGTCAATTCACGATCCTATCCAGTGCAAGTGTTGTGTTAAGTGCACCTCGTTTTACAAATTTACATCGACAACTTCAACACACGTTCGAACGTGACTTCCGTATTGCTCGCACCACCTAACCTCAATGACGAACCGCCGGATCGGACACAACATATTTACTCCGTCGTACAAAAAACTTCTCTTGACGATTAAAGAAGGATAAGAAAGTTGAAGAAACTCGTGGGAACGTGATAAAATTGTTATAAAATTTTTAATTCCACACATCCTTATCATACTAACAAGAAAAGCGTAACAAAATTATACAAGAATATACATCTGTCTGCCCGGAAGATATGCGATTTACAATTTCTCCGTGAGCTCGGGTACGACTTTAAATAAATCCGCCACCAATCCGTAGTCCGCAACTTGAAAGATGGGTGCCTCTGGATCTTTATTGATTGCCACTATTGTCTTGGAATCCTTCATTCCAGCAAGATGTTGAATCGCTCCCGAAATCCCAACCGCTACGTACAAATCCTAAAAATCGATCATCGCGAGATTATTGTATGCGCATCACAGGGGAATTTTGTATAAATAAATTTCACTCACAGGAGCAACGATCTTGCCAGTCTGTCCTACTTGAAGATCGTTTGGCACGTATCCGGCATCAACCGCGGCACGAGACGCCCCTACCGCCGCATTAAGCTTATCCGCCAGTGTGTACAATAACTGGAAGTTTTCTCCGGACTTCATTCCACGCCCGCCGGAAATCACGACTTTCGCGGATGTTAATTCCGGCCTGTCGGATTTGCTGAGCTCTTGCTTGATATACTGCACTTGGTTCGCAGTGTAGCCATCGGTAGCCACGTTTTCGCACTTGGCATCACCTCCTTCCAGAGGTGCCGCTGCGAAAGAAGTACCTCTTACAGATGCCACTTTTACATTGTCTTTAGATTTGACAGTCTGAATGGCATTGCCAGCGTATATAGTACGTATAAACGTATCCGATGTCTTTATGTCGATGACGTCGCTTACTGGAGATACGTCTAACTTAGCTGCGACCTTAAATTCAGATACAAATCGTATATTAATGCAAATCAATTAACGAATCTGACGCAGATATAAATTGTTATTATTTTATCAAGGTGTATAAAATAGTGTATATTGTATGTATATACTGACCCTAGGAAGCAGAGCTTTACCAAACGCACTTGCACCTGCTAATACATGTGTGAACTTATGCTCGTTACACAGTGTAATTATAAGCGGCGTCAAAGATTCGGCGGTGAATCCCTTGAAGGCATCGCTGTCCGCAAGAAGGACCTTGGAGACACCCTGGGCCTTGCATGCACTTTGTGCCACCGCCTGGCACTTGGAGCCAGCGACTAATACAATTACATCACCGCCGATCTTCTTAGCAGCCGTCAGTGCGTTGCTGGTGATAGGTAGCAGACTTTCATTGTTGTGCTCCGCGATAACCAAAGTGGACTCGTAACGTGCCAATGAGCCAAACTAAAAATAGACAACTTATGAGAGCTGATTAGCTATCAAATTCTCACTACAAAAATTACCCTCTCACCGCATAACTAATATATTTTGTAAAAATTCGAGAAATTTCAACCGAGCGTGCTTAGTAAATCAAAAGTTAATCGCAAAACTTACATTTATTTATATCTCTGATTCATCATCCTTAATTTAATTATTAAAGACGTAAAAATAGCTTTTCTGTATCGCTCATAGGATCTTAGTAGATCAGTAGAACGCGACTGACGCTGAGATTTAAAATTCTCAAAGGTTATAACAATTAGTGAGCGCGAGATAAAGATACTAGATAGTGAAAAACAACCGAAGAACGAAGATCAGAACGAATTTATGAAAACGTATGCTCACTTTGCTAGTAGCCCGTAACGCTCTGAAGTAGGTGGAAAACATCGTCGCAGAAATTAGTCTCTTTCCTACGTCCCTCAAGTGCACGCAATGTTAAGTTGTAAAAAAAATCAAATCAATGTGGCGGTTTATGACGACAGGTCCAAAGTTCTACGTAAGACCCTATATGAGAAAGAAGAGCAAGCACATAAGTACATACATTTTATTTTAGGGACACATTTTTATCTTAGAGATCCTCCAATTGGACAGGAGGTTGTCGCACTTTATTTGATGCGTTTCGAGACGCAATTAATATCCAACAGCAATATATATATATATATATATATATATACGTATGCATAATGAATATTTTATACTTTTAATAAACCACTCGATAGATATATTTATCAGTATACACTCGCGGATACAATAGATACGTTCGGAAAACAAAACGATTGCACAACGATTGAGTAATTCTTCAACGTAATTGGTTCAAATTTAGATTTCCTGAATTCTTGAATTATTCATAATTATTGGTAACTTGCGAGTGATATCCAATGAGCTTACTTACTTTTATGGAATAGCTGTATTCGTTTATTGGATATCACTCGCAAGTTACGTATACGAATAGTCACGAATGATTCAAGAATCGAGCCTCAGAGTCTCAGTTAATGAGTGATCAGTGATTACTGGTCTTTTCATCAGATCTCTAAATTTAGACTAATTACGTCGAAGAATCACTCAACCGTTGTGCAATCGTTGTGTTTTCCGAACGCAGTCATGGCATCCGCGAGTGTATATTGACAAATGTATACCATATGTAACACATCATTTCCTTTATCCCTTTTATCTCCGTTTCTTGAGAATTCTACGAGAGAGCTTTCTAGAAATTTCCGAGTGAAAGTTCTAACAGCTCTTCTCGGTGAAAGCTGTTATTTTCTTATTTTTATTACGACTGTTTTTCTCTCGGGGCACAAATGGGCTGTGCCCTTTATATTGCAGCCCTTCCCACTCAGTGACGATGCTCGTATGTTAACGCTCGCACACGAGAAATCTCTCTCCCATATCACTGTTTCCAGTTGGGGAAGTTAGTTCACCGACCGCCATTTTAGTCGTTTCGAGCGTGTTCAGCGGTGTTGGCGTCCGGCTAGATCTCGTGTCGCAAGTTATTTTCTGTATGTATCTCGTATTTTCGATTGTGCAGGATTGTGCGTGAACCTCACCATGAGTACCGACAGTATTGAGAAGTTGTACAAGAATTTTGGCATCCTAGCTGATGCTAAGGATAAACTGGCTGAAGTAAGTGCCTTATTGGTTATGTCGTATATATTTCATTTGAAGTCGGAGAATTTGAGGGAATTTTATTCTGGATATTTCTCTACTTATGTACGACATTGTTTTGCAAATGAATATCGCATGAATAATTTCTTGTGTGAAATATGCCGGGTGTATCTCGGAGAAAATGGAAAACCTGAATGTCTCTTGTGCACGCCCAAGCATTGCACCATACCATGAATCTTTTATATTATCACAAGTGATTTGGAATCATTGATACTGGTTTAACGACACATAATATCGCTACGATTATTCAATCTTATTCCACATAAATCCGGATCCATATTAAGCTTTTAGCCTTTTGCTCTAAGCAATAAAATATGATTTCTGACATAAAAGATGTTTCCTACGTTACCATAGAAGTTGCAATAACATTTAAATCTTAAATGTAGTCTACAATGGACAGTAGGAGTATATTCATAAGAAGTAAGAATAAGAAATTGATCAATCATATTCAAATGTAAGGAGTATATATATAAGGAGGAATAATCAACTATGATTGGTCAATTTTTTATTCTTACTTTTTATGAACATACTCCTACTGCCTATTGTAGACTATGTTTTAGAAGTTGCGACATCTGGTAGTGCTGGAAACACTTTTTGCTAGAAATTATAATTTAGTATTTAAAACAAAAAACTAGAAGTTTGTTATATCTATCGTAGATCTAGACTAACTTGTAAAGATACAATCTTTACTTTATATTCAATTTGAATTTGCAGCATGAAAAGGAATATTTGGAAATTCTGACAGCTGTTAAAGGATCACCAAAGGAAAAACGTTTGGCATCGCAATTTATTGCAAGGTTCTTCAAACACTTTCCAAAACTAGCAGATCAAGCTATAGATGCTCACTTGGATCTATGCGAAGATGAAGACTTAGCTGTAAATTTCATATATTTTATAATTTAATCTTAAATTAATTTTACATTAATCTTGGTTATGTTTTTTAATATAATTAATTTTTTGTTTTTCTTGTTTACTTTGAATTGAAAATGGTTTGTTGATTTAGTAACACAAAAAAGATAATAAAACGTAATCATTATATCTTGTAGATTCGGAAACAAGCTATCAAGGATTTACCAGCACTTTGTAAAGACAATAAGGAACATACAGCAAGAATTGCAGATATTTTGGCACAATTATTGCAAGCTCAGGATCCTACGGAATTAGCCGTTGTACATAACAGTATTATGTCACTTATGAAGAGTGACCCAAAAGGTATAAATTTTAATATATAATTGATAGAATCCATACACATGAAGATGTTTTATTTAAATATGAAGTAAATATTTTATCACTATGGTTTATGTGGCATTTATATGACTCTGAACATCTTAAATTTTTAGGTACTATAAGTGGATTCTTCAGCCAAATTATTAATGGTGATGATGGAACAAGGGAACGTTGTATAAAATTCCTAGCTACTAAACTCAAAGCAATAGGACATGATGTTATAACGAAGGAACCAGAAGACATGTTAATTTCTGAGTGTAAAAAAGTACTACAGGTAATATTTTATTAGTCTTTTGTATCATTTTGTAACACAATAACATATGTTATTCCTCAATAATTATTACTTATCATTGTTCACATATTCTCTCTTTTTACATAGGATGTAACTGCTGATGAATTTCACAGTATCATGGAAATTCTTGCATGGACTAGATTAGGATCTACTGTTAGTGGACAACAAGAATTGGTTGACATTACAATAGAACAAGCTGAGTTGTCTATACCTTTTAAACACACTAATATTGAGCAATGGAACAGGCTAGTCCAATGTGTTAAACATGCTCTTCCATTTTTTAGTGTATGTACATATATATATATTTTTTTTTCAATAATATGGAAATAATATTTAATGTTTCCTTATATTTTATACAATTAATGATTTACATGTATATTTTAATATCTGTATTCTTTTTAGTCGCAGATTGATTCATCCAAATTCGTTTCTTACATTTGTGTACAAGTTCTACCACACCTCTCTCTGATAACTTCTCCTGATGGTAGAGATATTCAGTTGGAATTATTAAAGTTGCTTGCTGAATTAACCGTATTTTGCGGTACGATTGAGAAACCCGAGGATAAAGTGCAACAGCTTTATAACACTCTCATTGTGAGTAATCCATTTTATTGCACGACTGATTCGATACGATTATTGTACAGTGAAATGTCTGATATTTATATCTCGTTGCTTACTGTTATTTTTTATTTGTTATTTCAGACCTATATGCCACTTCCTCCAGCTGCAGATATTACTGATGTACCAAAGTTACAGTTTAGTCACGTGGAATGTTTGATGTACGCTTTTCATAAGCTGTGTAAACAAACTCCCGAATTCCTGATAAAAGATGGGGAACAGTTGAAAGAATTTCGATTAAGATTACAATACTTTGCAAGAGGTATTCAAGGTTATATAAAAAAATTACGAGAAGCTATTAGTGGAAAGACTGAGGAGGAATTGAAATCTGACGAAAATCAACTGAAAGTCGTTGCATTGAAAACAACCAATAACATCAATACCTTAATCAAAGACCTATTCCACTCGCCTCCTAGTTTTAAAAGTATCATACATCTCTCATGGAAAACGCATTGTAACGACAAGAAGGTTATTAATTTTCTTTAGTCCCTTTATTATAAGCATGAAATATTCTTCAGATATAATTATGAACGAATATGCACTTCAATCTTTAATATATTAATTTTATTATTCTTTCAGAACGAAAAAAATTCTACTCAGAAAAGGCACACACCTATTACATTTGGAAATGACAGTAACGCGAATAAACGTATCAAAGAAGATAAGAACAACAAAAGAGAAATATATACGCCTCCTAGCGGAAAATATAGCTCAAATATATCATCCAATTATGGTAAGCCGACAACGATAAATAGTAATAAAGTTTGATGGATGAATTTTAACCTATAATCATGAATAAAATAGTATATTGGTTTTGTATTATTTTTAGGGCGAGTTAGATTTAGAGGTAATAGATCTGGAGGAAGAGGTGGATATAGATCAAGAGGCCGTGGAACATGGCGGAAAAACTTTTATTAACTACAACACTAATTTGCAGTAACACACTGAAAACAACTGGAATAAGACGATTTAAACGCTTGTCTGGTTTGCAAGAAGAAAGTGCTTTTAAACAAACACTATCAGAATACATGATTGTAAGTTTGAAAGAAATGAATTTGGATGGTCTACGTCTTTTGATAAGTCAAAGAACGTAGCAAGAAGCAAAATGATTACAAATATTATTGATATACCTACTTCGAGTTCGATTGCAAGAAGGCATTTGTAATTACAGCACTGATATTTTCACCGTTTAGTTATTTTAACATGAACAACAATCAAAAGCCAGAAATATATATATATGTGTATATATATATATATACACATATATGTGAATGCACAATGATTAAGAATGTTGCTACGGATGAACTTGCTATAACTATCCGATTTTGCGTGAAAAATTAATAATGATATCAATACTGATGGAATTATGTGTAAGGGAGGAAGAAAGAAGATTTTTCGGAATGTGAAAAATTTATGAAGCTGGTATTATTCGAAGATATGGGATAGTAAACCGATGAAGAGATGTCCACAAATAAAGATAACGATGGCAAATTCAAGTTTGAAACCATGCAACCGTTTGGAGGCAACTGTCGAGGCATCGATACAATGTCATGGTTAAAGAAGCTTATGGAAAAAATGGACGGCTCTTTTCGCGTTGAGAAACTGAACAAACAAAATAATGCAATAATATAACCTTGTATCCATTCCTAAACTAACCCTCCTCCATCCAAACTTTTATATTTGTTAGTACTTGTCTGTTAACAGGACCAGGCTATGAACGGAAGGGGTTTGCATCAGCTGTACATAAAGACAATTAAATCGAAGAAACATCAGATAAATTTCTCATTTTACAGAAATACTAATATATGTAGAATTTGCTATTTACGTACAAGTCAGACAGACATATATATTTGCGTATATATTTTAAATGAAATTTTATTTTAATAATTACAAAATTATTAGTGCAAATTCTGATTAATTTGAAGTAAATATATCTGTGTTTCTTCGATAAATGGAGCAGCTATTATTGTTGTATCGCTTTTCTTTTGCAGAGACCAAGTACTACCAAGAGGTTTGGGAATCGAGGAGTCAGTCGTGCTGTATCATTTGTAAATTCATGTTATTTTTAATTACAGAAATCTCCTATGGATGGGTCTGGAACCAGGAGTAACTTGGATAAACTAATTATTGTTTTTTCAGGCTCTGGTGGCATATCTCGTTTCATATTTATTTTTCATATATATGTTTATCTCCTTGGTGATTGCTGTTTTGTGAGGTGAGTTTAAAAATGTTCTGCCTCCCTTTCCCTATCCATTACTACCATGTAAAAAGACTTTGTTACATGCAATTCGTGAATTTGTTTCTAATTATTTCAATAAATAACATTATTTAACATCACATATTGTGTTTTTTTACCCAATTACATGTAACGAGGGAATAACATTAAGAGAAAAATTAACGGTCGATTCTGAGAGCAAACAGGTAAACGTCTGTATGGATGTTTGTCTACATGTACCTTAATCTATTACAATGTATAGCTGTGTTAAATTTAGATGTATTATCTATATATATATATTTACATGTAATACCAATCTTACTAAATTTAGAATACAACTACATGTTTGAGTCAAATACAATTTGTCAAATATATGTATCACTAATATGCAAATAATAAAATGGTAATTTCAAGAGAATTATCGCAATCTACTTAAGGAATATTAATTATATGATATATTATAATTATATCATATTATAATATAATTATATTTCATTAGAGTAAAATCTCTGAAAGATTTTTATATTTCCAGATCACTTGAATATATGTTATGCAACGTTAAAAAAAATGATGTATTTATCACATTGTATGTTATTATAGTTTACATATGTAAGTATGTACAACTTATAGCATGTTCATCCATTCAGAGATTAGTTAACATTTCGAAGCAATGCAACGTCTTAAAACAGTCCATTTGAAGAAATAACATCATCTATCACTTTGCACATGATACGGTCGCTCGGACTACATGGATCTAAAGTTTGTTGCTCGAGACCCAAATTATCAACAGACTCCATAGTATCTGTGTTTATTGCGAGTTTAGAATCTAATTCAGCTGTGTCTGGGAGCATCTGTAAGGCATGCTGTAGTATTTCTTGGACCTGTAACAATACCATATATATCATAAATACAATAATAATAATTATGAATAGCTATGTACATATTATATAGATTTCATATCTCTATTAATAAATATGCCTTTTCAAGATGTTTCTGGAAACGCATCGCCGTTTCAAGTCGTTGTCTACGTTGCAGTTCCATCATTACACGTAATGTTTCTCTGGCTTGATGTGGTCTAAATTCATTCAACAAATGATGTATCTGGATAAACAGCAAAGTCAAGTCTTCAACCTGCGAAGACACAAAGTGTTATTATGGAGATAATTCAAGATAATATTAATATCTTGAATTAATACCTAGCATCAGTATTTTAACTTAATATTGACAAGTAGAGATACAGATTTAAATAACATAGATGTCCGTCTATCATCAAGCAATTTATAATCTTTTATATATTTTACTTGAAATCTTTAGCGCTTAAATTACATATATACGAGCTCTTACCTTTTCTGCTCGTCTTGGACTATCAGGACACTGAACGAGCAAGTCTATCAAATCCAAGAAATTTACAAGCAGAGAATGGTTGAGTTTCTTTAATTCACGCCGACGGTCGAAGTGTTGCGGGTACAGCCTTTTGATCCCCTGCGCCTCCAGCGGCCTGATGATCGAGTCCTCCGCGTTGAACATGTTGCCGAACATGGTATAGTTATCGTGCATCGGCGGTGGCGGTCGTGGAGCTCGTCCACGACGTACATTCTCGTCCGTGTACAAATTAATATATTGAACAGGCGGTAACGGTAAAGAACTGACTTGTATCGCTTCGGGGGTTGCCATATCTTGCTAATACCCGAACGTCAATGAACAGCGACCAACGACAATTCGACTCACCGATGACAAATCTCTACTTACTGCTAAACGTATCGATAGGTTAGATCGAGTCCCATCAACACGTTACTCGAGTGTCTGTTCGCAAAGCCCTAAAACCGGCCGCAACGCAGCTTATGCTCGTCCTCGCTTTTCCAAGCGGGACTGAAAGAAAATGTCCCTTTTACGAGTAACGTGAGTATTTCGAACGTACGCACGCTCGCACGGGACAACCGTCTCGCGAGCGAGCGAGCGAGCAAAACAAAACGAAACGACAGCACTCGCGACAGCAGCGCCCTAATCCGCCATTTTGTTATGTTGCAGGCCGCCCGAGTCAAGGAGCGTCTCGGATGAACCAGCCGGTTGGAGTCACGCGTGCCGTACGAGGCGAGATTTCACGGCGACTTCTCCGCGGTATTTGCGCGAGGCTTCGGCCACGGTCGAGACACCGTCTCGTCGTTCTCGCGTGGATTTCTTTATTCGTCCGCTGACCGGGCCGCCCGGTTGACTAACGTGGTGCGGCATTTCCTGATTTCTCGTGTATTTCCAACGTCGCCGCGAGACGTCTTCTCGTTTGACAGATTGTCGGTGTGTGTATGCGTCCGTTCCACGTGAATTCTTTGTTGGGCGCCGGTCATGTTTTCGACAAGTATCGGAATCGCGAGGTAGTAGCCGCATATCTGTTGCATGGTAAGTACTCGGATCCCGCCCGAGTGGTCGCCAGCGACGACCGATAAACCCGCTGCACACGTAGCGTCGAGTGACGAATTCGAATAATCAAACGTTGGAACAACCGCGTACCAATGTCCTCGCGCGGTGTTGCTCGCGCCTTGGCGTGACACCTCGGCGATATTTCGACGACACGCACGTTTCCGCTCGCGTTTCTCCCTCAACTTCGCTCAACTCGTCGCTCGTCGTCGTGCAAAAGTTATGCGGCCATTCCCGGCGGCATAACAGTGAGAGAGAGAGAGATAATAATTGCTCGTTAATTGACACGTGTGGCGAGGTTGCATGACAGGAAGCGGGTGATACAGCAGGAAAAAGTGATTCCGGTGTGCTAAATTTAGAAGTGGATTTGCATCCTTTGTGACTTCAGATAAACCGGATACGCAAGATACGCCATCTTATAGAGAATTTGAATATATATTTGTGTCTGTTGGATTTTTTTTGTTGTTGTGTCTATCATAGAGCTTTATGTGTACTCTGGGAAGTGTGTTAAGTTGGTGCATCATGTTGACAAAGTGTTGCTTGCAATCCTATCCAGGCTCTGCGATGAAATCTTTCCTTTTCACGATGAAGCTCCATCATTGTGCATAAAACTTCTGCTTTTACTGTTGCTAGGGTGGCCCCCCATCTGTAATGGCCGGGAAAGATGGAAAGCTGGAGCCAAAAGATGGGGATGTCATTCGGCAAGGATTCATGATAAAACGGTCCCAAAACAAGAAACGCTTTACTCCAGTCAATTACAAGCAACGATGGTTTGTGCTGACCAAACGCTACCTTGTTTACTACGATGGAGATGGTGAGGTGAGTTATTTTAAAACCCAAAGTGTCTCAGTACTGATGAGAGAATTAAGCAAAGTATGACGCACATACCTTCAGTTAATTTATTTTCCACTTTCACATTGCGCTAACCATGTGGCAATAATGGGTATCCATACTTTGGCCAGTTTCTCCATTCTTTTAGTAAGAGATCTTGTTGCTTCTGTAAGATTCTTTTCATCATAAAACTGTTATTAAGAAAAACACAACAAACAACTGCATATTGATAATATTATTACACTATGTTTATACAGAATATCCCATATTTTGTGACCTTATCAGTATCTTTTCGCTGAGGAAAACTTGATCATAAGTTTATCATAGAATCCATCATGAAAATTAAGGTCAATTTTATAAAGAATTGTATATATGAACAAATAATTATGACCTGTATATGGTGCAATTTTTCCTTATATATGTAATTATACAAACCTAATATATATGTGATTTGGGAGCAATCACAAATTATACTCACAAATTGCCTATAGTTCTACACATCAATATAGAACCAAGGCATTCTATACACGAGAGGAAAATGTCTAATCCAACCATAAATGTTACTTAATCGGCCATGCAAATCCCCAAAAAATCTGCAAATCCTGCGAAATCTGACATTTCTCTAAGTTTCACCGCAAATTTTACCCCCCTCGTTCGTTGATCAAATATTAGCAGATCGATATATGGATCTTCCTGAGTGCAGAGCTCTTGTTGCCAGTTAATTGCACAACGATAACACTCGATCTTGACAACATAGCTGTGGGTATCGGTTGCAATAATAATCGGTAAACAGGCGGTCTCCGCCGTGTACGGCGATTTTCGTTGTCGGACAATGCGCGGAGATTAATCCCGTGCACGTCGCGACAACCATGGTCCCTTCAATCTCTCGCGTCGAGCGGGACGGCAGGTAGCTGGTAACTACGTGGTGGGTCGTCGTGGCTAATACCAATAGCTATCTCCGTAGCTAAGCGAACCGTTAGGTGGACCGGGCCGCTTTCGGTAGGAAGGGGTGGATAACGTGCGCACCCCCGTGATACCCCCGTGTGTCAAATTGGTGGCGCAGGCGCCACGAGTTCTCCGTCCTCTCGCTCCTCCTCCACCACCACCTCCTACTCCTCTTCGTCCTTTCTTCCCGCTCCTCCGTCGTCGGATTCCTGATGCTGCCCGCTCAGTCAGTGGCCGTCGTTCGGGGATCGGTCTCGACGAAGCGCGAACTTATCGTCGTCGAATACCCACTTCCGCTGTCTTTCTCTTTCTCTCCCACACACACACACACACACACACACACATATATACATACATAAATATAGCATACTCTCTCCGAGCTTCTGCCGCGAACCCGGACGATCTTTCGGACGGTCCTGCGGACGAGTCTATGACGCTTTAATCCCTCTCCGAGAGCGGCCGAGTTCGCGAAGAAACCCAAGAACAGGCGCGCGCGCGCGCTCATCCTCGATGCACTAGGTCGCTTCCCGGCGGATCCTGATCCGAGAACTCTTTGGCCCAGGTTCCAGCTGACTCGCGGGATCCAACGACCAAGAGTCGAGCTATATCGCGTTCTCATCGACTCGCCGAACGGCAGAACGCGGATATCCGAAGTCGGTTGTAACTTCTCTCTCTTCCTCGCGCGCCGATCGAGAAGATCGGAGCGCCGGAGGGGGAGCTCGCTCGTCCGACGTTGCGTCCGATCGTTTCAGCGATCTCTGCAAGCGGAGACGCAAGACTGTGCGTCCACGTGCCGAGCACACAGCCGAGACACACCGTCGACCTCCGGTCGGGATTCGCCGTGTTCGTCGCGTCGCGAGATCTAACGTGCAACGTGGAGGTAAAAGAAAACTTGAGGATTTCGCATCTTCGCACCCACTCCGCTTGCCCTCGGCGCGCATTAGCAGGCGCGCTCGACGGACGGACGGATGGGAAATCCATGTCGCGCGTATCACGAATTCCGGCGCGATTGTCCCCGGGGAGGGTCGCCCGATGCCATTCGTCCTCGTAAATTACTTTTCGCGACCACCGCTGGTGGTGGTGGCTACATCGCACCGATATCGGGAAGATTGATCCGCCGCCGCGTAGTGCGGTAGGAATTTCCTTATTGTAATTCGCCAGGGTCGAACGACGATGCATCTTCCCGCGAAAGCTTTCCCAAACTCGCCTGGCGGAAGGGGAGAGAAGGGGGAGCCAGGGCGATCCATAATTCACGACGGAATTCGGGACTGATTTCTGCTTGTAATTTCATACGCCGCCTCGCGAACGTCTCTCCCCGCGGATGGGGATTCTCGCGAATTACAGATCGTCCGAAACTACCAAACCGAAGTGAGACGTAAGATCACTTTGGGGGTATAACGATATGAAATTCTCACGTGAAGCAAACTCGAGGGATCTGACATACATCGCGCAATACCTAAACATAACTCTCCACTCGGCCGTAACCACGAAGAGCTTCCGCTTAGAGAGAGATAAATAGATGGGTAGATAGATAGATAGATAGATAGACAGAGAAAGAGAGAGGGAGAGTGAGAGAGAGAGAGGAGGTTGCGCAGTTGCTCTTAGTTAGCGAGCGAGCGAACGACTGCAAGTGTCTATTAATGAACTTATAAACATTAATTGCCGTTCGTTGCAGCGCCGTAAGGAACGCGGACGAATCGCCGTGGAGAGCGTCCACGTGGTGGAAACGGCGAGCCTCGGGAATAACAGCACCGCTGGCGGAGGCGGCATCGGCGAGGTGGCGGGCGGCGACGCGGGCGGCGGAGGCGGCGGGGTACCATCCGGGCTGCCCTTCCAGGTGGGATACCGGGAAGCTGGCCAGGAGTACACGCTCTACCTCCTCGCCGCGCGCGAGCAGGATCGCGCCGAATGGATACGCGCTATACGCGCGGGTAAGTCGCCCGGTCCGCTTCCTCTCACGTCGGACGCGCGTTTCTCGCGTACGCTATTCAAACGCGACCCGGTTCGGCCGCGCTTCCGGGCGGCTGTCGCCGCGCTCGTCAACGCTTCCTCTCGCGATGCGCTCCCAATCGCGCTCCGCTAAGCGCGTATCAGATCCGCGATCGCGATATCCGCTCCGATATCTCGCGCGACGTCGCCATTCAAGCCTCGTCGAGTAGCCGTGGACTCACGGATGCGCGGGACCTCCTCGTGGAAAAATCGCGAGACTCCACACGGCGGGGACGTGATGCCGATCATCGAAGTTTGAGGGACGAGTCGAGAGATTATTTGAATCGGGGGCATCGCGAGTCGTGTGATTGTCGTGATGAGCTCTCTCTCTCTCTTTCTCTTTCTCTCAAGATTCTGCTACCCATCCGAGGCCGGAATCTTACAAAATAAATCCCAAGCACTCTCGCGATTGCGCGTTCGTATGTCTCGACATCAATGAGAAAAACCAAGCAGTCTCGCTGACCGCGCAATCTGTTATTTATTTTAGCGATATGCAGTTATTTATGTTTTCGCGTACGATACGCGTATGTTGTCGTTTTCCGAGATGACATCGTCATTGATGGATGCCGCTAATGATACCGTTCGTTCTCAGTGTGCAGTGAGAACCCGGGCTTGAGCGGGCGTTATCACGCGGGCCTGTGGAGCGGCAAGCGCTGGTCCTGCTGTCGATTATCGACACGTTCCGCCGAGGGCTGCGATACCTGCAGTTCCTGGTCCTCGAAGCCGTCGGCGAACGCCACGAATCCGTCCTCAACGTCCTCCACTTCGGCGACATCGACGTCCGTGCTCGGCAGTACCAACAACACGACGACCACCGTCACGTCCGACCGCTCGCAGCCGATGAACGCCGAGGCGAACAACAATCCGATAGTCCAGACACGTTCAACGATCGGTTCGTAATTCACATTTACTTACCTACACTCTTTCATCTCCGCCGTTTGCCGTAATTGGCCGGTCGGCGAATCGACGTCTCATTTCGCATTGTTAACGCGAGAGTTCCGGGATCGTGCCGTCCAACTCGCTTTCGCGTGGCTCGATGAAATCTAGCAATCTCGCGTCTCCCGTAATAACTCGACCGCTATCTCAGGAATCTCTGCTATCTTACGTCTTTATATTCACTCTTGCGATACGACCCGAGTGCGATACACCACTGTTCTCTATTTACGGAGAACAATAACGCACACGGGTGGAAATAAAATCGCAGCCGGAGAGAACGTGAGCGGCGCGCGATCCCGGGCGGCGAGGTCCGTTAATCGTCCCTGTGAAAAATTAAACGTCATACGTGGGAGAGCGTTGTTTATTCGCGACGCATTTTTCCTCCCTCATTGCGCCGATACATCATTCGGCTATGGCGAGGCGCGTATGTGCGCTCGAACGCGCCGAAGTATCGCGCCTCGTATTTTATGCAACTGCCAAATGGGCCAATTACGAGCCGGCGTGCGAATAATCGCGCTGGAGATGCGTGTGGGCGCTCGTTGTTCTCACTATCGCCGAGGAAGGATCGCCCAAACGTATCGCGCGAAACGAACGAACGAACGGACGAGAATGAGCAAACGAACGGGGAATCAGCCGGTGGGCGCGATCAGCAGCGAGTAATTAACTGATTGGCGCTTTATCTCGTTAAATATTTATCAGCGCGCGATAACGAGTCCGCTTTTCTCGCTCAAGATCGACCGACACTTTGTTTGTCGGCGTATTACTTCGGTCTGTTGCCGCGGCGGGCTATCCGGGGATTTATCGAATAAATAGCGATTTCTCCATGCGGAAAATCTCGTTTTCCATCGCGCGATCGCCGAGCCAATATGCGGGCGGAATAAGGGGATTGTTTCCGCGCGACTGGCGTTCCCCAGAGTGTAGAGACTCCGTCGAGTCTTAGAGCTAATGATCCGAAATCTCTATCTCCCTTTCTCTCACATACATACACACACACACACACTCTCTCTTCCCCGATAAAGTTTATTCGCGTTTTAATCGCACTTCCGGGAATATCGGGGGAGCGCGATGTGTCGAGTGACGGATGTCGCGCGGAGTTTTCGCGTCTCGTCGGCGAACGACGTTTAAAATCGCGGTCGAGCGCGTCCTCGGAAAAATATAAGCACGATTGACAAATTCGGCGCGACACGCTAACGGTGCTCGCCGACCCGCGTTTTTGCCTGGCCCGCCGGAGCGCTCTTCCTCGCCGTATCCGGAGCTCGGGAGACGACGAGACCGCCGAAGAAAGGCTTTATTGTAAACAAAAGCGTCACTCGAGCCGGCGCGGAAACTTTTCTCCCGGTCAACGGAAGCAGCGCGGCTTCGGCGACATTTTCTTCGGAGAGACGGAGAGATGGCACGAAGACGACTTCTTCCTGAGCCACGACAGCGAAACTCGAATCGCACAGCGTGGATATCGCGAAATTGTCCCGGTCAAGCGGTCGTTCTCCCAATAACTCGGGGCGCCCTAGTTTCTTTATCGTTCGAGACGAGACAGCCTTTCGGCTGTCTCGCCGATGGCGCCTCTCCTCCGCTTTCCTCCGCCGCCAACGCGCGTATCGGTAATTGAAATTTCACATCGCCGCGATTCCGTGATATCGCGGACGGCTTTCCCGCTGAAAAGCGGCGGCGGGAGACTTCTGACGAGCCCGACGTAAATTTGATTACGGAGCGCCGCTCGTTGTTTCGATCAAAGGCGACGATGAATTCACGGAGGAGACGGTGAGATAGAAAGAGAGGGGGAGGGGGCTGCAAGAGGCCGGTAAGAAACGCACCGTTCACGCCGTGAGGATTTTCCGCAGGGACGTATCTCGCCGCGGAGAAAATACACCCCGGTGCGATTTTTCGCGCCGAGCGCGGTGTCGTGTAGCTCTCATTTGCATCGCAAATATCCATGATATTCTATCCGGAGCGCAAATGACGCAGATGTCGGTTTTTACCAAGGAAGAGGTATTATTAGATGGCCTTTTATTAAAAGTCGATACGCGCCATCGAGCGATCGTAAAACGGGCGTCGACGTTGCACGTCGTACGAGCGCCGGCGATTGTACGGCGCAATCCGCGCGCGAGTCTCGGTTCTCCGGTCGAACTGAGAATGCGCGGTAGTGATCGAACGATTACTCATTAAGATCGCACGACGACAACTTCGACAACAGCGATCTCGCAGCGCACATCGGAAATCCCCACCCTCCCGAGCTTATCGATTCGCCCGTTCATTTGCGTTTCGAGCTGCCGCCGCCGCGGAATAGATATTCGCGCGGCGGTCGACCGCGCGAGAGATCCTCCGATCGTCTTCCAAGACGATCTTCCTTCAACGGCCTACTTAACGACGAGTTGGATCCGGAGATATTTTAATCGCAAATCTAAGTATCGAATCGTGCGCTATCGACGTTCCCGGGCTCGTGCGCGCGAGCGCGCGCAGGAAATATAAATGCAATTTGGTAGATTGTATTCTCCGTCCGACGCGTCTCTCGAAGTCAGCCGCAGCTGAGCGAACTGATTCGATTATTAGCTCATCTGCCTAAGAGAGAGAGAGAGAGAGAGATATTAGCGCTTTCGTTGAGGAAGAAAAATGCATATAAATTTATATATATGTACATATATATATGTGTATCTCTCTCTCTCTTTCTCTCTCTCTCTCTCTCTCTCTCTGTGTGTATACGTATTATCGTTTATCATTTTTCAAGTTTCCCAATAGTTGGTCGCGTCGGACTTTCGACGGTGTTACGTAACTACCAGCCGGCAATTAGCAGTTGTCCCCCTCCCCCGCAAGCCGGGCGAAGTAATCGCCCGGGGCGTTTCTCGATAAACTCCGCCTGAGAAATAAAGTTCTAATATTATAATACTCCCTTTAATAACGGATCATTCTATTAATCTCGGATCGATTTAATTACCGAGTTACCAAAGACCGCGCGCCCACTCCAATTATTCGTGATGTACTGCCCGGCCTTTACATTATTTCCATGGGAGGGGATAGACATGCATTTATGCATGCAATATTCGATTCCCAGCGCGGCAGGGCGCAGCTGTACTTCGGGCTTTAAGACCCCACATCTTAATTTACGGCGCGCAATGTCGTCTATCTTGCGAGTCCCTTAAGATCGCGACGACGCGCTATCGTCGAGGATCTCGCGAGTTTTAGACAAACGAGGTCGTGTCGAACGCGCATTACGTCAAGCCTGAGAAGTATCTCGATCGAACAAGCGGAGCTCGAAGTGGCGTCAGTTACTCGGCGCAGCCGGAGAGCGTCGTTCGAGCGAATTTCTGTGATCCCCCAAGCGAATTTTTCCCACCGGCGCAAACGGCCCCATCGAACGTCGAAGTGAAATCGAAGGTGGAAATTAGCCGACGATTCGTCCGAATCACTCCCGCGGTGTGTTTATTCTGCGGCCCGCTCGCGGCTAAACGTGTCGCAACACGGGGAATGCATAGTCAAGAATTTTGCAACCTTTCAAATTACGGTCCGCTGAAATTTTTCTGTTATTTTAACACAGGAATATGTTGAAGAGTACACGTGAAAAAAATTAACATATGTATGTACACTCTGCCTTATTAGCATATCGCATACTTTTTTAATATATTCGGCTCGTTGAAGTAACACAAAAATTTCAGCGGGTCGTTATTTACAGAGAATTTCCCGCCGTGTATAAATGCATTGCAACGGGCATCATCGACAGGCGAATAGGAGAATAAAAATTCGCGTGTCAGGTTCGTAAATCTGTGTAACTCGCGCTCGTTACTCTCCGGCTCGTTATTCGAGATAGAATTTACCGAACTTCCGCGAGCGAGACTGCGCCCCCCCCCTCCTCCCCCCTCGGCACCTGGACGAGAGTATATCGGTCTTTCTCACTTTTCTCAATATCGTCACTCACTCTCTCTCTCTCTCGGCGCAGGTTCATCTCTCCGGGTCTCGCCGCTTTAATTTGCCGCGATATCAGACGTGACGCGACTCCATTATGTGAACGTCGAGTAGGTCGAGCACGCAATTAACAAGTTTGCCTGACCTACGTAGCGACGAGGCGCGCTACAGCTGGCAAATGAATGCAGCCAGTATAAATCCTAACTACTTCTGACCATGCAATATGCATTCGCAAGAGGCATTCTGTCTTTCTTTTCTCGAGCATCCTCGACGCCTGCTGTCGTCAAGCCGCGCGATAAGCGCGTTTTTCTTTCACCCGATACGATATCTTTCACATGCCCAAAGCTGTCTCCGCACACATACACACACACACACACACACACACACATTCATGCGCGGAATTTTCGTCAAACGCCGCTTTGTCTCAAGTGTCTCCTCGTCGTCGATCATCTTCGCGTTTAAAGCGACCGTCGGCCGTGTTTCCTCCGGCAGTCGCGAATTCACCGCGCCCGCGTTCTCGTTTTCCCGCGAGCGCTCGCTCTTTAAAGTACACCGTCGAAATATACGTGTACGTGTGCCGGGGAAGCCCAGATTCCACCGGACAACTCGCGCACGCGAAATATCCGGGGCGAAATGAGAGTCGGACGGGAAAAAGCGCGCGGGATTACGGCGGGAGTGATCGGTATAAATAGTGAAAGATTCGATTAGATAACCGATCGAACGTGGGACCAGTTCGA